GCCTTCCACGTTTTGGAGTGAAAGAAGAAGACCCCAGACGAAGCACTGTACCTAAGTATCTGGTCAGCTACTGCGCACCTTAAGACATCCGTACACAAGGCGACGGAAAGGTAGACGATACAAATGTGAAAAATCACAAAGAAATTTTGGGGTTTCAGGAAATGCTGGGGTCTTAATTGATGCAAGTGACAGAAGATGCAACTTTGATGCTTAAAGGAGGAGGGAAATTGATCCAATGATGAACTGACAGATATCGTATCAATGGTAAGAATAGAATAGATGCTTCCTATTCGCTCTTTCTGGAAGAATGGAATAACTTAAAGTGAGCAGTATCCATCATTACTTTTAGGAATTAATACAATATCATTTTAAAATAAACCGTCAAAGCAATGTTCTAGGACACCGAAAGCAGTGACTCTAAGCGGTTGTTTTCGAAATATTTTCAACATTATTGCACTATTTTTAAATAATGCAAGGGTCAAATCAAAGGTTGTAGGGTAACTTCATTCGTTCTTCCCCACCTTTAGAGTTGTGAAAAGAAAACGAGGAAATTGGGGTTACTGAAAAGTGACCGGCTCAACCAAAAGGATGATTTTTCCAGCCGATTTGTGCATACACTTTAAGGCGGTGTGTTGAGGGAAAATAAGTTAAATTTGGACAAGATTTGAATGAAAGACCAACGTATGTTTCACTCTCCTAAAGCTTTTTTTTTGATGCGTTAGTCGATTAACCTTCTCACTACCCCAATTACTTTGGCCTGACTTCCGTGCAAATGGACACAACCAAATTTTACACTCCAAGCATGTACCTTCCAACGCCAACGAGAGTTGGATGCGTGGAAGCACTGCATTACCCCTAGTCGCGTAGTTATACAATAATTCCGGCAAAAATGGTTGCATTATTCTTTTGCAGGCTTAAGAACAAGAACTGGATTCAGTAAAAAAAGAGAAGCATTTTTTGTAACTCCACACATCTGAAGCGTTTAGTGGTCGTAAGTATAGCTATTTCAACGCATACTGCTCTACTTGGGTAACGAATGCAAAAGTGTATTGTCTGGTTAACAAGAGAGATTTACTATCAGTTACACATACCACTGTAACTGCTGATTACTATGGATAGAAAGTGTTACAATTGAAAGTGGTTCAAACATAGTTCCTTATAACTCAAAGCATCCCATGGGGGTATTAGTATTGAATGATATTGGTGAGTAATTTTGTTACACATCTCAAATCCAAATTTAGACAGACTCAAAACCGCAATGCTGACCTGGATAATTGTACTTACCTGGCTACTCTTACAGACCTAGTGGATCTGTCAGCTTAACGCGGGAAGATAGCCATCTCAAATATGGATAAGTGACAGAGTAAAATGAGATTCTTAGGTAAAACGCGATGATGACTCCATTGAGAATTGACTCGTGCGAGCTATATCGGCCTACTTGAGGAAACACAGCCGTCTTATACTTAGTTGGATTAAACGGTGTAGGGTTAAAACGGTAAAAAAAATGAAGGATGTAGTAGTCATTGCAGTTGTTAGTGAAACAGAAAACGTAACAAATTTATTATGTGATTTCACAAGTAAGGCTGAGTGCATAAACACACACTGGTTTAACACGTTATGCAAAACCGGAGAGTGATTAGCTTTTGATTTAGGATTAAGCAGTTAAGGAGTTTGGGTAATGCGTAGAACAAATAAAAATAACCCTGTCACATTTCCCTCTTAGGTGGATGCGCTATGCTGCGGACATATTTGGTCGTAATTCTGATTCTAACTGCATCCCTGCCCTCTGCTATGCCCGAATTGACAACTACTGTCCAAAAAGGACAAAATCTGGGGATCGGTAAGTGCACACTAATTACGCTTCCATCTGTGTTCCCATATAGTTCGTGAAAGCATTTCCTACCCAGAATCATTCGCCTTTGATACAAGAAATATGCAAAGAAGTAAACTATTCTATGCTTCTGGAACATAATGTACTCAAACCAGGCGCTTCCGAGGTTTCCGCTTTTTGCCATGCTTTAATGGAAACAATGCTTTTTTGCATTGGATAAAACACACATTTTTGAGGAAATACATCGGATTAAGAGATGCTTCGTCCCGTACGAAAAATTAATTCTAAAGGGACACGAAATGATGCGGAAATTTGGCAAACGTTTCATGAATAATCACAGCGCTTAGAGCGGAACTTTCTCCCTTAAAAAACCTATTGTATGGTCCGCTTTCCCTGTTTGAAGGACTTTACCATCTACCCATTAATTTTAGACCCATTTTTAGGAAAGGACTTTGAACAGAGGAACAGAGATCTATTTATTTGAAATAGTATTGTGGTAAAATCAACTCTGAAAAGGAAATTTTGATGCAATTCCTTAAATAAAGGATGGAATAAAGTACTGTCACATGGTATTTGACTCAAAGAATGGAAGCCATCGCACCTAAGCAATGCAGATAACAACGAAAGCGCTACAATCGGCATACAAACACTTAGACACTCTTCGGTTGAAGAATTCCCAAGGTGATTCCACCACTAAACCAGCTCTTAGTGTTTTGATTTGAAATGTTACAAAACTAGTGTTATCAACAGGTTTTACTTTCTAACAAAATTTTAATATGAGCAAATTTTGGGATCCAAGTAGTATGCCATAAAAGGTAGTAATATACAAAGTTGTGTTGTCTGATTCGGCTTTACTCCGAGGTTCCTTAATCGTCATAAGGGAGGCAGGTATCCCATCTGTGTTTATTCATGGTGACTTCAAGAGCACACAAACAATTGTTTCGTTGTCTTCGCCTGCTGTATTTCCGATTTTTACAATGCTTTGAACAACGTGATTTCAAAAAAATTTCATGGTTAAACGGATTGCATCCATTGCAAGCTAAATCTCTTCTTCATGTACTGCGAAATACTTCCCATCGAACATGTTTCCAACGCAAATATACCCTATAAGACGTGGTGCAGCAGCTACTTTAATGAAGCATTGGAGGTATTTTGTCGGGACTTCTGAGATTTGAGCTTTTTGAGTAAGCCGCATTTACCTCGTAACAGTTCGCCTTTAATAGAGCGTCTGGCACCGGTTCAGTAACTCGAGTCAAGTATCTGACAAAGTGTTCAGTGCCGGAGTGTAATTTCCCGAGGGATTAAAATTGTTTCTACTTATACTTTCAAGTAGAGTACAAACATCTCTAGGAGGCTCCGCATTTCATGATACTAAATAACAGTACAAATTAGACGCCACTGGCTGTTGTAAACTATAAATATACATTTTGACCGGGCGGTGTCACTCATGAGTCGTTGCGTTCTTTCCCCGGCTGCCCATTGCCTGGCATTCACAATTTACCAGAGAACAATTAAAAGGAGTACAAAAATACGGAATACTGGCAAAAAATTAGTTTCAATTAAATCAAAAGTTGCGAGACGTAAAGGTGGTTAGTTTGGGGAATAAAAAACAAATTGGTTTAAATAAACTACTGACTTATATTTAGTTGTCTGCGATTCAAACGCATTAGTTAATTACTCTACGGAAGCGCCTTGGTCGTACTATGAACAGTGGAAACGTGTCTAGAAAGTAGTGCAAATTTACCAACTCAAAAATCTTAATGAATAAAATAAAAAGTAACTTGGAAACTTTGGAACCGAAAAACGCATTGGGTCGCGGGGCAGGGCACGGAAGGATAAAAACATGCTATATCTGGTGTGGAAAAAGGTCATCATTACAAATATTCACTCTTTGTTACTCTCATGTGCGTAATTTGGACCATTTGCCTCAATTTAAGGGCAAACGCTTTAAAGAATTCCAAGCAGAATCCCTCTACATATGCCCTGAATTGCATAGCTCTACCTATGTAACCGGCGTTTAGCTGACAAATTGCTGCAGAGTCTTGGAAACCAAGATACATATTGCTGTTTTCAAGCAATATTGGCGTTTTACCCCCTTAAAAGTGTTCTAAAATTCTCATGTGCAACCAAGCAAACATGGTTGATGGATGAATGGATGTGACACTGCTGAAGCTGTTTAATACCTCACACCAGTGGCTGTATGACTTACAATGTTGTAATGCTTCTTAGTCCACGAAGTTGCTTTAAGCCACTACTTTAGATCTTTGTGCATTGCTTAAAAGAATCTCCTCAAAATTTTACAAATTCCCACGGGTTGCCATGAACCAAAACAATAGCTAGGTTCCCCAACTCTGATTGGCCTACTGGTGTTGGCCAATCACACACCCGCCAATGGCAGCGTACTCAGAGAGGTGTATAACTCAACAACAGTGACCGTAACGTAGTTCGGAGCTGTGTCAGGCGGGCCACAATGAAGCCACCTTTTTTCCCATCGGTGGTGGCTGCATACCTTCACTTTCTACTCTTGCTCCCTCTATCCCTTCCTTCCCTGAGCACCTCCAGTGACAAGCACTTGGTCTTTGCAGGGGCCTGCAACAAGGAGTCGCCCAGCTTTTGTGACCGAATCGTTCGCAACTCGGTGTGCAACAGGGCAAAAAATGAGTGCTTCTGTCGAAAAGGCTTTGTCGCTGTGAAGGAGGGGGATAGTGTCGCATGCAAAACACGTTAGTTATTCTCCAATTTAATTCCTCATTTGAATGGCTCATGAACAGTTGAATAGAGTCAATGTATATTTAATCCTTACCACACCATATATATTAAATGTGTCTCTTTTATTATTTAATGTTACAATACTTGCTTGATCTAAAGGTTTCATAATGACATAATTCTTGTCTATTGTGTGTAAAAATAAATGGGACTAGTAGTCTAATTACCTAAACCTAACTTCAAGCATTTCTACAATGTATTCTCTCATTGAATGCACGTCTAATAAATCATTTTAAACGGATTTTTTGCCACTGACACTAATTGCAAATAAAATAACCTTTTTAAAGTATGATAACTAGGGGGTGCTGGAAATATTAAGCCTTTATTGGGAAAAAGGAAGAAGCCTTGTTGCATGGGCGTCACCCAATTAACAGGATAAACCAGAGAAATCTTTAACCTCAAAGTCTGTGGGAGCAACCAGTCCCATTCACCCTCTACCATGTTGAGAGATCTCTTGCTATAAGTTGATAGCAGGAAAGAAGGAGTGATAAACACTTTCTCTCTCTCTTTCTTTCTCTTTCTCTTTACTTTCTCGGTTAATTTCTTCCCCATATTTGCATTACTGGAAACTGACAGAAACACTCAATGAATTAATTATGCATATTGAGTGTTAATGCCTCGCGAACAGCTTGCTGATGGTGTCTTTTGGAAATAATTTATAACATGAAGTAGCACAAGTAAATCTCGTCAATTCCTCTCTCGCCTCTGCGATAAAAGATCAGAACCTTCCAGGTTAGACAAAATTACACCCTCAATGACTAGTTGAAATACTCGGTATTGTTACTGCGTGAGCGAGGAAGTAAGAATCACAGCTGAAGATGGGTAATGGTCTAATGCTAAAAAGTCCTTATTAGATGTAGCTTTCGCGAAATATGGAATCAGTTGTCTGGTATAAAAATAAGTTAATGTCACAGTTTATAAAAGACTTCCTAAAAATCTACATGCTTTTGTTGCAAATCCAGTGCTCACCGACCTCAAGTGTCGTGTGGATGCGGACTGTGTGCATATAAATCGGAGCAGTTGCCATCCCGGTGCGGGATTCTGCACCTGCCCTGGAAACACCGTCTTCGTACCCCAACTGAACGCCTGCAGTAAGTCATACACCCTCTCTGACACAGCAGAGATCTTCCTGTTTCATTATTTAACCAGCATGGAGGTCCTTACTATGCAATCACATGGATTAGCTTTGACATAATAAAAAACAAAATACACGAACTTTTCTACAGCCTTTGGAAAAGTAATATGAAATTACATTACAATGATAGGAATAAGTGTCGCCGCCACATCACAACCAGAAAGTTTGTCACCGCCCATTCCTTTTTTGAATTCGCAATATTTAAGGGCATTGCGACTGTTTCCAGGGACGAAGCTGTTCGAACGGAAGAGTCTGACATGCGCCTCGTGTCTGCAGGAGGGTGGAAGTTGTTTCGCTTTCGATGAAAGCGACAACTTCCGAACCGAAGGAGCACCGTGAGCACTTTGATCAAGATTTTATTCGACTAATTTATTTTCTCAAGAGGATTTTCAAGCTATAGGTTGTTTATACTTTTTGCGCTCAGGCCGTTCGAGCGATATGGTTGTGTGTGTCCCAACTTGCGAACAAATGCACAATTTCGTGAGCCCTCACGACCTCAGCGGATCTGTGGAGCTCAGTTGGGTGCGAATCCGTTCTTTTGTTACTCTTCTTTTTCTCGGATATGGGCAAAATTAGGAGTTGGATCAGTTGTTTGTAATTATTCCCTAGGAGTTCATATATACCCCTTAGGCAAGATTTTGGGAGAAATCTATTCAGCGCTCCTTTATCTCATGATCCTTACCATTAAATTTGCGCTTCCAATGATACTTCTTCGGATATAAAAATGGATGGATTTAGAGGCTTAAAGCTCAGCTTTGTGCTTATTTAAGGTTAGATAAACATGAACAAAACCAAAGCTGAATATCTTTTCGCAATAAATAGCATTACCATTTTGTCAATAAAATCGTTCTGCATTTTTTATCAGAATTTCCACTGAGAATGAACCAGAGCAAGGTAACTTCCCTTTGCCTCGAAAGAATACTTCTTGTGTCTGAAATAAGTTCTACTTGCCTATTTAGTTGATATTGGGCAGTTGTGCAATGATGAGGATCTACTCTGTCGGTCCCCTGTTGCAACTTGCAGCCTCCTGGAGGAGACTGCCTGGTCGGAGATGAGCTACCACAACGATGCCAACTTCGGCATATGCACCTGCCCAGTAGAGCATACTCCGGTCTTCCAGAAGCTCCTACGCTACTTTGAGTGCTGTAGGTTATCGAATAAGAAGAGACTCTCTTCGCGGAAGTCCCACTCATTGTTCTATATACCTTTGCAGTTCCAAAGTTGAGTTTGCAAGAAAAATCCTGTCATCAGTGTATTAAGAACGGGGGTGAGTGCTACCGACTGACGGAGACAAGAACTGACTGCAAATGTCCCCTGGACCGATCCAACTCTCACACATCTGACATTGCTGACAGCGGTGTTTGCCGGTTCCGACATGGTATACCTTATTATTGTTAGATAATTGCATGGTATAATGGCAAAACGGATGGCTCTCTGGAAACAGATCCATAAAGAACTGAGGAGAATAGAACATTTAGGTATTGTCGGGGAAAGAGCCATAGGCATTGAAATGAAGATCTCACGGATAGGCCCGTAGATCATCATAAAATCAGGAAGTCTTATTAATAAAAGAAGCGCAAATTAGCCTCACCGAAAGGCAAAACTGGTTAAAGTCACATTTGAAGTACAGGCCTTACCGAACCCTTTAGTCAGCTTTAACTTATTGTAATATAGTAGGAGATTCACGAAAGCCTGGGAAACTATTCATGGACGAGTCAGGGAGGGCAGTAAATTAGTTGTCGTACAAAATAGAGACGATCCCCATGGTAGTTATCTGAGCCTTAAAAACGCCAAGATCTTAATAATTAATGACAAGTGAATCTGTAATACCCCAGCCAGATCGGAGTTACTATCTGAGATGGACAGACGTGGAGATTAAATTACTTTACAGAGCTAAGGTAGAACAAGTATAATGACGCTGACGTTTCCTGCCCAAATGACTCAAATTTTTTTCCAACAGGGGTTTCCTTATGTTTCAGAGAAGTTGATAAGGAATTAGTTCACACAATTTATGCATAAATCACGATTTCTTTCACCGCGAATGATTACTTGATGTAATGGAGCAATTAGTTCCTACAAATTTTAAGCCCCATTAGCACATATGAATATTATAAACCCAGATATTGATAAATATGAGTAGGATTCAAACCAAAAATTGTTGTGGCAACATTAAACATTGTACGGAATAAAAATTTCCGGCTGGTTAACTCTATTCATTTTTGGAAGAACCTGACCTGCGGTAGCGAATAAAATAATTGCATCTTAAATCTAGTATTAATGAAATCGTCTTCAAATCATTTTTAAAAAAACCTTATTATTTTTTAAACAGGAAAGGCAGTCGGTGCTACAAGTCAGAAACACCATAATTAGCTTAATGATTATATGCAGAGCCCTAAGACTTCCCTGCGGGCAAAGGAACATGCGATACTCAGGTAGGATGTGTGCTGTCGGCGTGCATTAGGGCTTGGAGCACCAAGGTAGGCTAGGTCGCTCTGCGAAGGCAGAATCACGGACTCCCTAAGTGGCCATATATCAAAATCAAGAGTTAAGTAAACAATTAACGCGTTTCGTATGAATGCTAGACAGATTTAATTAAAGTAATTTGAAATATAGTTAATCATAGTGGTTTTAATTAATAATAGACTTTAAGACATATTACTGAGAGTGAATCCCGATGTAGTCAATTGAACTGCTGAAGCCTTGTTCGCCCTTCAGTTCAGACCGTATGTGAGAATGCTATTTTGCTGGTGTGCTACGTGCCCCACTGGGAAGCACCCTACGAGGAGATGGCAGGCCGAATGGACTCGGGAATGGCAAAAGCGCGTCTCGAGCCCTCCTCCTGGGCCGTTGGCACTGCTGACCCCTCCGCCAGAGCGACGTGCTGTCTCAAGAAGGCGACCCACTTGGAGGAGCGTGACCTCGACTTCTCCAATCCCGCTCCATCCACCGCCACTATTACCGATCTCTGGAGGACCATGTTGCTCAAACTCTCCCTCCGCAGCCCTGCTATCCGAAATGCCACATTCAACACGCCTTACTGCACCCAAATTGATCTCGTCAACGACCCTCCTGCTGGCTGTGGCATCAGGATACACGACATAGGAGTAAGCTCAAATTTTATTTGCTACTATGCGGCATAAAAATCGCTAAGTAGGTAATATTTACCAGCCCCATCCTTAACTTAAAGGAAAAGAAATGTTGAATACACTTGGTCTTTAATCATCTGTCGCGTGGTTACTAAAGGGAACAACTCGTGCTACGGATAACAGCATTATACGGTTCCATGTTAATGGCCACAAAAGAGGTCTCAAATTTTTGTGTAGTGTAGTCGAAACCTTGATTTACTTCCTTTGCCTGATGTCATCCACTGAAGATGTTGCTACTCTGGGCAGGAGAAAGGTTGTCACGAGGTACCCATTTGCTATAATTACTGTTTATTTTAATTCTACCACATCAGAAATTTCAAAATGTACAGTTTACCTACTCTTAAACTTGATTATAAATTTTCTGACTTTATAGATTTAAAACCCCAACATGGTCACTTTAAATTGCGTAACCTACCCATCCAGCTTTATGGTTGTTGGTTCTTCCGCATTTGTGATGAAGTGAATGGAAATAATCAAGGCAAAGTTGTTCTTTTCCAAACTAAGCTAAAATATGTAAAAATCATGATTTTGTTCAGTATTTTAATAGAAGCAATTTTGAACTCTGATAAGGAGGCTTTTAAATATTAGAGAATTTCACGAGAGACTTTAGCAATTAGATTACCGTACCCTTGAGGTGAATGCGACATATTTACGAAAACGAAGCCTCCATGAGGCAAATTTGTCCAAATAAAAAGGTATATGATTGACTCATTCTAGGGTGGAAGAGCGAAATATCAGGGAACAGTTGAGGTTGTGATGGAGGAGTCCCTTCTTAATCCCGCCAGAGAGTTGCGTCTCACCTTTTCATGCATCGATCACAGACTTGCAAGAGAGCGCCGCGAGGAGATTCTGTAAGTTTTCATTAGGATTTGGAGCATGAGAGCATCCCGTTGAAGCAGTCAGTCAAAGTTCATTGAAGGCGGCAATTGAACAAATGCTATTTACTTCAAACAGGTTATCCGATTGTATTGAACCGTTAAATCATTCCTCTGCCCTTCCATCTTCATTCCATAAGGCATAATGGTTCTCAACTAGAAAAAATAAACTATGGACAAGCCGCAAAATGAAACTAGGGGTAACTGGATTGGCATTACGATGGACCCACTTTAAAGCGCGAAAGTGCTTGAACATTTGGATACGCCTCACTCCTATGTGTACATATGTGTTTTGAATTTGTCGTCTCCAAAGTATGAAATTTTTTCCTTTTTTCACTGACCTATAGTCAGCACAGAGAAGTCGACGTCAACGTCAGCATGACGATCGTGAATGAGCATCTGCGGGAGGTGGAGCAGGTGGAGGAGGGCGAAAACATTTCACTGCGATTCAACCTCCTCCCCAGTAATAGCGATGGTGGGTGATTTTACAACAGACATGTATTTCTATCCTCACTCCTTGAAATGCATTCTCCGTTGACCTAAACGGTATATTTGCTTCTCGCTGACTGATAAGGGTGTAATGCGACTAAGAAGAGTAGACAAAGACATTTTATTGAAAAAAGTAAATTTGATGAGAGGTCCTTAAGAGCTTCTTCATCTAATAAAATTATTTACTGCAGAGGCTTAAACTGATTTAGTGAGCAAGCGACGGGCAACTTAAAATTCTCCTTCTTCGTCTGCTTCCGCTGGACACCAGGCAGAAGGCTGAATAGCATGAATTTTGTCCATTGAATCAGCAAAGTTTGCTAATGTCTTTAATATTTGATTCTATTTAGTGCTTAAGGGTTGCACGTTTACTTTAATGCTTTAAACTTTGTCTAGCATTAAATGCACAATTGCAGGTGCAATGAATGCATGTTCAAGTTTATTTCAAATACCAGTGGAAGCTCTTCGCAGAATATCCTTTGACAAGGGGCATACAAAACTCTTTATGCATTTTCACCGCTTTGTTGCATTCATTGTTAATCAGTAGGGCCCACACCATCCCAAATGTCGAATAAATAACAATGCCATCTAGGAATATTAATTAGATCCTTTGTCAGGCTTGTAAAGGAACCCCTATTTCCATTTTGACAAACAATGCCCATTAAAGGCGTCTAAAGTCTTTTACTTCTTACGCAGCCATAAAAGCAGCGATTTGTCACATTTCTTAAAAAAAAACAAATACAAGCACTTAACAGATTCATTTTGTTCCTCCCTTATAATCCAAGGTGCCTGTGTGTAATCTCTTCACAATCGACTCTAGCGCTTCAGTTTGACCTGCTTAGAATAAATTGAGAGCGTACACAACGTTAAGGTAACGTGACTCTGTGAACCATGAAAACATTTGGTTGCCCTTGAAAGCTCCCCCGGCTGTGGACTAGCAGCACCTACAAGCCTATCAGCTCTTCCTTGAACATGGTGACCCAGACAAGCAAAATTTAAGAACATGTTTTGTTGTGTTTAGGAATAAGGCCACCATTACCCCCATTGTGATGTCTTTTTATAATCATGAAATGGTGATAACAAAAACATGTCTTTAAATTGCCCTATCCAACCTTCGGATAAACTGATACAGTCAGGTGAATGATTAAGCGTCATAAATCAGTCATTTTTGACTTATAAAATGAGTGCCTGAGCAGTTGATCGTGTTTAGCTTTCTACTTTAAGGAATAAATTAATATTCCTTAGTTTTTTTCCCTAAACAAAGAATGAAAGCATCATTTGTTGGTCAGTAACTCCTCGTCTAAATGCTGCGCAATGCAATGCAGACTTGCGCTTTTCTACTTCACAATACAGATTGCAGTATTGAATGCAGAGTCTGGGTGACAGGACGAAATTTTCCTTTTAGCAAAAGACTCCATCGCGGTGGAGAGTTGTTTTGCCTCGATGAGCGGCTCGCAGTTTTCTTCCCCCTCCATCTACTCGGGTTTCCCCATTTATGCGGCAGGGTAAGCCGTGCTTCTCCAGATATACGCTGCATGTTATTCAAGTTCAAAAATTATCAAAGGAAGACGATTTTTCTTGCAGGATATGCATGATCCACTTGAATCATAGTCTATGCGTAATGAGTAAGATTACAAATGTCACTAACTATCGCAGCAATTTAAATGGCGTAATTTCTGCCACCGTTACCGTAATTTTTAGCTGATGGTAAACCGTCAAACAGCAAAGTGAGTTTTAAAGCCGTAATTTTCACATTTAATCTTTCAATCAGTCTTAACCCTATATCCTGGGATTCACCATAAAATTGCCTTATTTTAATTTAAACTGGTATTTAAATCAAGTTGCTTCCTTCGCCAAGACTGTCTTGGAGAGTTATGGAAAGCTGCTCGTTTTAGATGCACATCAAATAACAAGGCATATCGGATCCAGTTTGAGCAATCACAACTTTCAGGCCGACAGCTGCAGACACCACTTTTTCAAGTCTTTCGAATTGAGAACTTCAACTCCTTGTTCATCCGGTGCTTCGTCAGGTACTGCCCCCAATTCACCTTGTGCTCTGTGGTAAGTAACCTCCTTTCTAATTCTTCATATGAAAAGTCTGGTATAAATGTCGTGGAATGAATGAGGATTTGCCACTATTTATTCCCATCAAATAGCACAGCCGATTTGAATGAGGCCTATTTACCTTAATTCATGCGTTAGCAATTGATAAAATCTCCTTATAAATAGCCATCTCTTGTTATTTGAAAATCTGAAATCCTCAAGCCTACCTTACTAATAAAATGGAGCATTTCCACTGTAAACTGTCTACCTCGTGCACTTTAATAATGCAGCTGACAGAATTTGTAAGTTGTAAGTCCTTACACCGATAGCTGTTAAACCGACAGTTACTAATGCGAATCACTTAAGTCCAACACGAGCACATTCACTTTAAGCATAATGTTCTTTGGGCCAAGTTGTTGTGACGCTTTTAATTCGCTATTGTCACCATTGAATGGGGAGAATGTCACAGTGAAAGTAAAGCCGAAAAGTATGGATAAACAAAATTCCGAGGAGAGCGGAGCGTTTGAAGCATGAGAATGGGGACCAAATGATTGCGTGCCAAAAAGGAGATAAAGCATCTTCAGTATGTGCGCTTTGAATAGGGCCAAAGGGTATGATTAGAGAACTTACGCCTGATAATTCCATGGAGCGCCCAAAAGTCACCTTGAGAAAGTACAGTCAGCCATAAGTGCTGCATCTCGCTAACTTCCTGAAAGATTTATACATCCAACCACAGAGAGGCGAATTATGCTTCGCAATTCTTACAAGCTAAAGAAGAAACTGTTTTAGTACATATAATAAGCCATTAATACTTTTCGTTTTTAATTCATCCCTCACTTTAGTAGGCATGGAGAAGACCACCCTATTTAACGTGACTTAACAATCTGAATATCTTCCCAGATTTGGAGTAACTTTGTCAACATCCCAAAGGAGTGACAGACTATGAATCTGTGATTTTAGAAATTATATTTGTAATGCATACAATGCGCTCGAGTGAAGTCTATCTAGGTTTACCCGTAACTACAGATACTTTTCTAGAAACCCAAAGTGAAACTTACATGATAAAACCAAGTTGTGTATTTGCTTGAATCGCACACTCATACCTTGGTTTCTTCCATGTACAGATATGTCTTAGTCTGTCAAACGGAAATGATGCTATGATATGGATGTGTAGCTCCCCGAGACCAACCTAAAGGCGAAAGTAGATACAATACTAGGACGGAATATATACTTTCGACGTGCAGATAGGCAGAGGGGCTATCAGCATGGCCCGAAAGTCATACTGTCCAGTAGAAATATAAAAGCTGAACCTTAAGTACCCGTGAAGAGAAAATAAAGACACAAACAAATAATCAAGATACTACGTAGCCTTTTCGTCTTCTGAGCATCGTCCCAAGTTCATTCCATGGTCAACCTCCCCCGTTAATTGTCACAAAGTAGTCAATGCTGTAAGAATTACACCCACGAACCAACCACGGCAATCATCGGAGTTCGTGTGCTAATGGGAAGTTATTTGACTGCAACGTTACTTACCTCTTTCAGCAAACCCATTGGATCTGGAGTTGAGTCCTGTTTGAGAATTGCATCGGAAGAAAGGGGACTGTATAGGCCACCTCGTATGTCCGTGGTCAATATGAGAACACCGACGTAAAAGCCGGATAGTTTATAAAGAGACAGTGTTTAATGTGGTTTCGTGTCTGCTCCTAGTTGCCACTCTGTTTTTACTTGAGAGCAGCCTAGCTATATCTATATGGAATCAATTCGGCTAGTAGAGAGGTGGAGAAGGTACCGAGTATCCACCTAGTTGGCATCTTCATCTAAATACTGTGGACAGGTACATAACAAACTTGTTCGGATGCTTCACGGCTAGTGTCGCTTTAGTTGTTTTTGGTATCCCTGTAGGACATGGGACTAAAGTAGATGCCGAAGTCAGACTCCATTTTCAACCCTTCTGTTGAGGGTCGTCGCAAGCTCTCCCATCCGCAACATACGCCCGTCGTCCTTCATGCTAAGGTTTGGCGCTCTGTAGCTGCCCTTTAGGATCGGATCCACTTGCAGCTGCCACCAATGTAACGCCCCGAGTTTTTTTCTGGGAAAAAAAGAAATCACAATACTAAGATAGGAAATGTAATCCCAACGTACAGAAGGGCTAAGGCTAATGGCATGGCCTAGGGGACCCAAAGTTCCCATAAATATGATTACTATCTATTACCGGTTCTATTCGCATCTCAATTATTCACATTGGTCGGTGATCAGTGGGCTTGATACGGTTGCTTATTTTGTAACTACTGTAGTCCCAACTCTGTCCATTTGTTATTCTGCGACAAGTCAGAACCAGGGAAAGTAGGGTGTTTCTCTCACCAATTTACGCATGAAAGTGTCCACCTCCAATTCACCGTTAAGATGGCGCGAGTGCCACACCTGACTTGTCTGAGCGCTGAGCCCCATCACTAGCCAGCAAAAGTAAAACTGTCTATTTTTTCTAAAGGCAATTTTTCGAAAAGTCGCATTATTTATCACATTGCTGGCATCATAAATAAAACTTGAATGTACTTCCAAACTGTTATAATAATTATTATTTTGGGGAGTCTCAGAAACTTTTCTTGCAGATTTTCCATGCTTACAAATGTTGTTTTTCATCTAATTCTCTCTAGATGGTTATCTGCATAAGCATCAAATCTTGCGTCCATAACAGGTTTAGATCTCACCTATCACAGGCTGCTCTTTGCTTTTCCAAGCTAGACAAAAGAACTCCTAATTGCTTGCTTGCACCTAAACTGCGCGTTTTTCTTCTGTTGAACAATAACCCAAATTTTGATGCGTCGGAGAAAAAATTTTTCAAGATGTCTTTGTAAAAGGGCGCCTGTGTCACTGCTTGTCTCTACTTCGTCTAACAAGGTGGTGTGTACACACGAATCACCTTTTCTCGGCAAAATCAACGAGTGAACAGGCGAGAGAACAAAAGGGGACAAGGCCCGAAAGGACATGTAGGAAAAAGCGAAAGATAGAGAATAAGGTGACACCTAAAACATATACCCCCAGATAGATGTGTCGCCGCATCTACCCTCCTTCAAATGTCACTTCACTAGGAAGTTCTTTAGGGCTTAGTACTTCTTACATGAGGCAATAACATGAAATTCACCAGCTCACCAACAGGTATACGCGACCTATTAGAATCAAACTGTTTTCTTCCTATGTCATTCCACATATTTCCTTAGAAAAAGTAGGTAATTTCTTACCCAAAATATGTGTTTTAATATTCGATTTGTATTAGCCTTCGACTTATTAACTAATATTTCATGTTATTTTAGCATACATGACCCCGTACCTTTTGAGACACCCGTCATTCACTTTCAGGAGAATCTGGACTGTGCCAATCCGGCAGAGGCCTACAGCGGAAGTAAGCGGTGGGGCGTCAAGTATCGCCTCTTCGACCGTTGGGTGCATCTCAACATTGTCCCCTCGCAAAAAAGTTAGTTACACATTTCGTACTTGTTTAAGTCTTTGTTTACTTCAAAATTAACCAAGCCTTTTTGTCATTTAATCTCTTGGTTTTATGAAGGAAAAATTTGAGCATCGAAATAAACCTAAGTCATAGAAGACCTCCACCATTTTTTTAGGAAGCACTTCAGCATACATTTTGACTTTATCAACCCCTTTCAATAATCAACAAGTAGCTAGTTTAATTGAGATTAGGCAATATAGCATAAGTATAAAAAAGACGGAGCCATTTTTATTTCCTGAAAGCAGTTACGTTGTGTTGTTAGGTGAAGCAATAAGGTCGCATACTGTAAGCTGCTCTATCATTAAAAATTTTGTACAAGACACAGAATTATTTACTAAGCGATTGTATTGTCAAGAGAGAATTCGATCAGCAACCACTAAGTGAAAATTCAACATTATGCACGAATACTTACTTAAGGAGGAATATGCTAAATTCTATAACGTCTTTTATTTGTACTATCGTTAACGTGGGGAAAAAGCCAGAGTGATTTAGCCAACATTCAGTGTTGCCTTTTATCACTCTTCCCAAAGAGTGCAGTCAGAGTAAAAAAATCAGAAATACGTGCAGGAGGTTTGACTAAGGAATCTATTTTTGCTGTTATGCGTCATTCTCTAAGGTAAAGATTTGTTGTTAAACGTCGCAAGATAATATTGTTCTAAATTCAATCCTAAAAGCATAAATTTACAGTCTTTGTGATTTCCTGTAGTCATACATTTAACCAAATCATGATTCGTGCATTAAAGTGCTTTCCAAACAAGTGACTGAATTTAGACAAGAAAATAATAGGTATTAGGATAGATAGATTAATGCTCTATCACAGAGCATTTTAAATCTTGAGCTTCACTTGATTTATAAAATAAGCTGTGTACATGCACGGCACGACATCCACCTTAATGCTAAACGAGTTGGAAGTGTGCTCTAATTACGTTAACTTGAGGGTGGAGGTTATGAAAGATACATGCAAAGAATGTTGACTGCCTAACTGCTTTTGACAGAATCATTGCTACTAGCAGGGCTGGTGGTGGGGCGAGGCAATGCGAATCCGAAGCTGAAAGCGCAAGGGGAGGAGAGGGTTGTCGCGGATGGAGGGGGTCCCTGCAGGTACGCCGTATGTCTCACGCAGACTCAACTCATCACCGTCTCCGTCATCACCACTGTCATCATCGTCGTGGTGCTCGCCATCTCACTTATCGCTCTCAGGCGCCAAAACCAATTTAGACGCAGTGAAATACGGGCCGCGAAAAAGGTTTGCTACTTGTATTTGACCTACTAGGGCTCGGTGATAAAGAGAAATCAACTTTTATAATGGAAAACTAGTCGATTTTACTCTTTATTACGCCACCATTAAGTACCTTCAAGACAAAAAGTGCGTTTAATGAGATACTTTTATAATTAGAAGGGACATACGCATTAAAACAATCCCCAGTCCAAGGTGCTATGGACTAATATGAAATAACAACATTTGATTAAGTATTTCTTTGAGAAAATCCCAACCCTTGCGCTCAGTTTTTAATCAGTAAGTGCCAACCCTCATGGACAGGGCGATGCCATTCCGGTTTTCTACCCCCTCAGATTTATGAACGCTTAATATAATTTCCCTGGGACATTTTAAAATTTACTTGAATGCATTTTTAGCGATAAAGGAAAAAGACAGCTTTTACCCACCTTTACTTCCGGTTGACAAAAGTGCTGTAATTCTGCGAACACTGCTTCTGCCATAAAATGGCATTTAGCCCTCAAATGCAGTTGGTATTCCCTAGCCGTGCTGCTTGGTTTTACTGACAATTCCCTGATGCTGGAATCAAATTCGTTGAAATGCCTTTCTACATCGAGAAGTTGTGGGTACACGGATATGGAATGCTCCACATGAACCTGCTATCATCCACACCAAATGGTAAAATAGCGAAAGGCCCTATTTCAAGCATTTTTTTCAAAAATCCAAATCCGAATATTCACACTGTATTAATTTTACACCTATTGGCTTTGTGGTAGGGTAGTTAGACAATTCACACATAATATTCATTACTCCCCTGCCAAATTACTGAGCAAATAGACTAGATCATATATAACTTCGGAGTTGGGCAAAACTTTCACGCTTGATTAACTCACCTAGCAATTGAAAACAAAAGAAATTCATTGAATTTAAACGCCCCTATGATTGAGGAAAGTGACTCGCTTTTACCAAGGCGATATTGATATCGTAATTCAAACATCTAGTTGAGTTAATTTCCGCATACTCTTTCCTCCTAAGCCGAATTGCACCACCTACGAGTACGTCAACTGGTCAGTACCAGTGACCAGTCGAGAATGGAGCAATCAGACCTCGATATTTCAGCCTCTAGTGCTGACCGATTCTACGATCCAGGGCAACCCTATGGCTTCCATTGCCCCCAGTGTCTACTCCAACCCCCAGGCGCGGAACACCGCATTCATCCGCAGTCCTAACAACGCAATCAACCTATTTCATACTGCATCAGCAGTGGAAACTGAGGCTAAGTGTCGCAGTTTCTCCGAAAAGAGACGCACGTCTACCTCCGAGGCCGGGGCGTGGACCGTCTCTTGCCCCACCGCCGATGGCGTAGCAGGCAAGAAGACCTTTACCAGTGCTCTCAACGAGAATGGACCCTTTGAGTTGCAGCCTGTTGAGCTCTACGGAACAGAGACGAAGGGCTCCATGGGTCTCTACGCTCCTTTTCTGTGCATTCGGGAGACAAGTACCATAAAAAATGACACACGCAGCACCGACTGTTTTGTGGTGGCTAATAACAATAGCGGTGTTCAGGAAAGCGACCCCTCTACGAAGACACAGTTTATTCTACAAAAGGCGTCATCTAGTAGCTCACAAACCGCACCAACACAGTCGGCGACGCTTCAGCGTATGTACATTAGGCCTAACATCGGTCGAACTGAGATCGACACAACTGCGATCAAACATTTTTCTTCCATGAAATTCCTTACCCGATCTGAAGATGAGGTCAATGAGCGCGAGGTCTCGCTTTCCCCGAATAATATCCTAAATGATGAACAAAATGTCTGACACCCAAAGCACCTTGCTCGGTTCACACTTGTACATACACATATATGCAAACACTCTATCTTCCTTTGATCTCTAACGGAAATAATTCCCACCCATTTACCTCCTTCCTTTTAACAGCGAATATTTACAGGAATGACATGATTAAATTTTGTTAATCCATAGCATAGGAAAACTCTCAGATTCTAATAATCCCAGCAAGTCAAGGTAAAATTTTAGTTTGTTTTGTAGAGAAAATGATCTTTTTGATTGAATTAAACTGAATTACCAGATAGCCTACCAATAATTTTGCTACACCACTGAATTTTAAGCTTGTAAAAGTGTTGAGGGTTGCTAGCTTAATCGAGTCTCTGGGTGATAAAACTAAAAAAATTTAAAATCAAGGGCGTGGCTACCTGTTGGTTACACATCACTAGGACGGGCCATCACCCTGCCTATGGCGCGTTTTTAGTCATATCCTTCACTTCACTCTAAATACGTGCATTCAAAATTTTGTCAAGCAAAACTTGCAATTGTGGGGAGGTTTCTGGAAATGGAAATGATGAGGAGGGAAATCATGTGACTCAATATTTTAAATGTTTTGGGGAGCACATTTCGACTCTACCTTTCGGCACCCAGCCCGTAGGTATCTAACCAAAAAAGCATGTTTTAGACTCAATAATTTTTACTTCAAAGTCATTGCGGAAAATGGAATTGGAGTTGCATCTCAACTGTAGGGAAGCCATTATGTAGTCGGTGTGTAGGCCAACTCCATTTCCACGTCGCTGATGCTGTTGCTGCCACCACTGATTTTGCTTGCATCGCTTCCCCTTAAACGCCTTCCTGGCAAAACGGAAGCAACAACAGCATCGAGCACTGAAATTTACGGCTTTTATTTTAAATGTAGTTGCTTCTAGATTTTCACGATTTAGATTGCCATTCCAGAGTTAGTCGGAGAAAAATGTGCAGAGCTGTTTAATGTTTTGAAGAGTGGATAATAAATCGGGTTTTTACGAATTTCGTAGTTTTGGGAGTTAAAAGGAACGTAGTTGGTTTTTCAGTGTAATTTTTGGATTTAGATGACATTGGCAACAACTATTCAAACCTACCAAATACAATGAAGAATTCTTGTGTCACATCTCATAGGTAGCTCCAGATTACCATAGGAAGACAATATTCAGGGACTGGGAATAGGTAGAGTTACACATCCGTTTCCCCCTTTTACTTACCGAACAGACGAAACAATGCTCACCTCGAGGTCAACCTGTTCAACAAAATTTTGATACAATCCTAGTTCCAAAGGTAAGGACAGCTTCGCAAGGAGGAAAGTAGTTCCAAAACCCGAAATACATTCTTAAATAAAAAAGGCCGAGCAGTCATTCTTCTGCCTAGCCCATATTCTGGTCAAAAACTCAACGTAAGAGAAATACATTCATTATTAATTTATACAGAAAATCACAATGTCATCATCCGAAAAAGATGGAAAGAAACCATTACCACGAATGGGAAAGTTCACTTGCATTAAAAGTTTCTGATAAATGGAACTGACACGTTTCCATTGACAATCATTTGGGTCAAGTGTCGGGACTTTAATGCCAAGTCGTTATGCCCTAGGAATGCAATGAAAAATGCACGTGGGTGGCAATGCATGCAGAAACATTGTTACATTCTCGACAATTGATGGAAGCCACCCATTTGATAGTTGCCCACTGGCAAACAAAGTTGAATAACCTCACCGGCATTGCCACCCTAGGATTCGACCATTTTGACCGAAATAGATTTTGGTTTGCAGCATACAGAGAAGCATGCACAATGACAGATTTCGGTTTCGAAAGAGACAATTGACTCAAGCGAACTGTGTGCCTTATTTCAAAAGATCGTCCCAGTACTTATTGGATTCCTCTCGGACAGAGACAAACTCTTACCACTGCAATGATGATAGCAATCGTAATGTCGAAAACTTGTGACGGTCTCTGTGTGCGTTCCCTGACATAATCCCTTGAGTACGGCTAAGATGAATACAGACTGACCGCTAATGACATTGCCTTCCTGCAAGAGAGTGAAGCCGCTCAAATCGACGTTTGAGGGCTCAAACATCGCCTCTCGATAGCTCGGATGTGCCACTTTATCATGAAGGTTTTGGTCTATACGGAATACAATAAGAACCGCTGGAATTAACGTATTTTTGCCACCAGTTAAGTGGTGTGAAAGTCGCAAAAAGTTCCACTCATGCGTTGTGAAAGATATAGAGATTGCACATCCAAATTGTGGCTGATCTCCAATAGTTTAATATTTGCTGAATTTCGATTGGTTACGAAACGCTAAATTTCTAAAGGCTTTTGATAAAATGGCCGATTTCTATGAAACTGAGTTGGCCTCATACTACGCAAGTCTGTCGTTTATTTAAACTACTGACATCCATTTTCTTTTATTTCTCAACTACTTCAACTTCCTGTCGAGGTGGCCTATTGTGAATTAAGGGCTGTAGCCACTTAATAACGTTTGTATCGTGAAAAGGATCCTGTAAAATAAAAAGGAATAACCAATTATGCTAATTACGAAGCCGCCAAATAGGAGAAAACAACCCCATCGAGACCGTAGATTAAGATACCTTATAAGTATTAAGCTTTTCTAATAAGAGTATTCGCACTCAACAACCGCAGTGTTCAAAATACTTTGAAAGGTCAGGACAGTGTGAAGATAGCTTTAAAGTACTAAACGGTTTGACAGAACACGTGTGGATTTTGATTTCCATTGCCCCATCCAACAGCACACAGCCTTCCAGGGATTCAGCATTGCCCTAGTTGTTTCATACCGAAAAGCAGTAGCTTATTTTCTCCCTCTCCGCCCCAGGACTTTCGGAATTGTTCATGATTTGGGCGTTCAAACGCATCCTTTGAACCGTTTAAAAGGGTGGAGTCAGAGCGGATGGCCGTGTCACGTAATCGGTTTTATCGCTAGCTTAATCTCGGAGTTGGTGGTTTTACTTTACAAAGGTTTCCTTTGAAGCAGGCGTTCAGAACCACCTAAATAGTGGGTTAACAAACAGCCTGGCTGTAGTAGAACTGTCGTTTTGTGCCTGGCACAGTGTAATACGAAATTAAAGTGTGTGGAATTTTTCGCCTTTAAATGCCAAACTTATTACCCATATGGCGCCGACTAAGCATGTATCACATCGGATGTGGTCTTCTCAACTGAGATAAACGAGTCCTCGGAATATTTTCAAAAAACTTTTATTTTGCATTCAGCCTGATGATGCATAAACGGCTTCGTACAATTACCAGTGAATCCAACTACTGTGATGAAATAAAGTATGCCCCTTTCAATGAGCTTTTCTGCCATTAGTTCCCAAACAAGTCGATATTCTGGTCTCAGGAGCGACCCAAAAACTCCGATCTAGCAATTTATGGACTCCTAAGGTACCCCATCACAGTTTGAGTTACTTGTTTTATTGGCGTATGTTAGTTTAAGGCGAAGGGATCTTCCGAAGCCAAAACTATTAGAATTCCTGGTGTCATAAGATTGCCCACCTTTTGCTCACACACCGTATACAGAAAGGAGTGAAGTGCTGCATGTGAAGAATTGCAACCTCTCGTCATAATAAAACATTACTTCACAACTTCTAAAATGTAATAACTACAAGCTCATGCAGCTATGCAGGAGTGATACGCGGTTGTCTAAAAAGATTATATTGTCAGTTTCAGAAACTACGACTTTTAATGTTTTGTTTTGAGTTTGCGTACACCTCGACATCCGACAATGAATATGTCTTCACCATAAAATAGTCCTACCACGCCTGATGGAGTTTCTTTGTGAAGAAAGCCGCCCACTTTATTTAAATTGAGACGCAATTTACTCCATGAAAGCGTATCTCGAGAAATTGCACTTGCTATCGGTAATCCTTCATCCGTGTAAAGTTATTAACCTTGAAAGGGAATTCGATCCTTGAAATGTATCTTCTTTCAATTTTTATCGGTTGGTACATCTTTCCTAAATCCAAAAACACCATACCTCAAATGGCTTGAGATTGCAATTTTCGCGTTCACTGAAAGCATTAATTTTGGTCGCCAATGTTAGACGACAGAAGTGATTAAACAAAACTTTGATCTGAGCAACTCCTAGTAAAAAATCGAAATGAACTGCCATTTCATCCATGACGTGACAGGAAACGTTTGTAAAAAATAGAATCCAGTTAAACGATCACTCTTTGACAAATTTGAGTTGTTTTTTGGAAAGAGGCCAACACCCCTCTTATTTTAGGGATACTTTAAGAAGCTGACTGCAGCTTTCCTCGCTAACTCGGTCGTGTCGGAAGCGTAAATGGTGGCCACCCATTCTTTGCCCATGATAGACATTCTCTAACCCACCCTGTCCCGCCTCGCCTCGCCCCGCCTCCACCTTCCACCAGGATGTGTGTGTGCGCAACCAGTGATTACAGATCCTTTCGAGCCGCGTTGTGATTGTCAAATCGGCAAGTGGACAAGCCAGGTCTGAGAGCAATTGCAAAGCTCATTTCATGCTCAGTTGGGAGGCCTCTAAAAGCTCTCTGCTAAGCGGACGTTTATGCTCATAAAAGATGGTCTTGGATTCTTGAGGCAAACAAAGCTCGTGTCGTGGACTCCCATGGTACTGTGCCGTAAGCACAATAATAAAAAAAATATTTGCAACTGCAGAAAATCTACTTCTCCATACAAAACCAAGGTGATCTTGGATAGAGCTGAAGGGAAGTATGGAGGCTTCAGGGAAATATTATTTTATCTCTATAGGAAAAATGACATTCGGAATGACTGTCTTTATTCTGAAAGTTATGAAGAAGAACAGGCTAATAGATTTACTCGGATGCTTAAAGCATTGCAGGAATGAGTGTAGTAAATCTAGCATCGTGGGTGAGTGAAGCACACTCAAGGAAAATGCTCGACATTTTGAGTGACATTTGCATTGAAGTCCACCATTTACTTGGTAGTAAATGAAGAGGAACCCAAGTATTACTAGTTACCCAAAAACCCTTCATTTATAATTTGTTCAACACCCTTCATAATATTCCATCTTACTCTGTTAGGAATTTTTAGTAGTATTTTGCATTCATTAGCCTTTATCAGAAGCTAGACAATGGACATTTTTACGGGTAAGAAGACACGGTAATGCTTGAGATTAAGTTTATGAACACTTTATCAGCGCAATAAATTAGACTGGATGGAGGAATAGCAGTGACAAATGTGTGCCCACCGAGACATTAGACGGCCTGTGGAGAGACTCAAATGCATAAGGTAGCTTCAGTATTTGCCGTCACGCAAAACTACGATGTCAGCATAAAATTGCATGCATCATTTCAGCATTAATGCCCACGTATAAGACTCCGAATAAGACCTCCTTACTCGCCAAACGACTGTTTGAGAGACATTAATATGGTAATGCCGAAGTAAGCCCTGGGCATTGGAGACTCTTCCCAAACAAGGGCAGATTTAGCACAATAAAGTAAATTTCCCGCATAAATTGTTTAGAATTAAACTTGAGACTCGAAACTTTAAGCTTAGCTACCACAAATATTTATGCATTCCTTGACGATAGTGGTTAATGAAATGGAGTAAATAAACGCCTTTTTGTTGAACTGCATGATAATGCACCAGGATAAGGCATTTCCCTCTACTTTTGCCTTTATCTTAAAGACTTGGTTAACGTTAAATGAGCAGATCTAGTACGACTTGTAACTTTGTCTAAGTAAAAAAAACGTTAGGTCCCTGGAAAAAATGAGTTGCAGACTAACCCAAGTGATAAAAAACAGACTGAATCGACGACCGCCTATCTAAGATGCCATAAATCCAGTTTAGAATCAACTGAATGAGAAATAGCTGTCTAATTACACCATAGCAGCCTCTGCGCCGTTGAATTCCTCAATCTGCGGGTAATTGTGGTGTTACAAATCACGTGTGAAAGAGTATGAAAAATCAAAAATGCTTATAGTAGGCAAAATAGTCCCACTGATTTTAAATACGTCAAGTCGGGTGTTATAGAACGCTGTCTTTCAAAAGAGCTTCAATGCACCCTAACTTGTCAAGTCACAAGCTTAAAGGCTTTCAAAGCAAGAGCGACATCCACACATTTTATCTTCATCCACTAAACACATTATACACACACACACACACCCTTCGATAAATTCCTTGACCCAACTAAACAACCACCATTTAAAACCCGAAACAACACTCCATTAACCTTATATGACTATAATTATACGAATTTTATTGGCCCCTTTGAGCACAAACTTCAAACCCTAAAGGGGGACGGGTGGGCTTTGGCTCCCTTTAAAAACATTCGTTCCAAGGAGATCTTGTCAAAATATGGGGATCATTAAAGCTATAAAAAGGCCAATTTAGCTAGGTATTCCAAATGTCTTAAAAGCCTCGAAGAGGTTAAAACTACCCACCCTAATTGAGGAACAGACGGAAGCGTAGAATGAACGACTTGGGCATGAGGGGCGGGAGCACTAACTTAGGCAGAGGAGTGGGTGGGGGCCAGAGGACGAGAAGGGACGTGACGCAGTAGCTCAATCTGTCGCTCAGTGGAGACGGGTTGAAAGTGGGCGAAGCGGAGGACGATCTCGGCACGGCCGGATGAGAGGCTGCGCACTGCAGCGGAAAAGCCGCTCAACTCAGCAAGGGGTGCGAAGGCACGCAGACAGCATTTACCTCCTCTGTGGCCGTCACACTCCGCCATCTCCACAGTCTCTACCTCGCCCCGACGCCGCGCTAACTCACCCAGAAAGGGTGCCAGAGAGGCATCCTGTGAACCCGAGTCTAAACAAGGAGGAGCAAGAAAAACCTAGTTCAACATACCAAAATCCGTCTTAATGGAAAGAGCACACATCTAGGTACCGCTGATGTAGCCATCAGAACTTGAAAACCCCATTGTTTCGTAAGTCAATGGATTCACAAGTAAGGACAACCCAAGCATTATTCGGAGTAAGACATTAAAACAACGGAAAAATAATTTGAATGAAAATATACTAGCAATGTGAAACATCTGGAAATATAAAATACAAAAGTACGCGGGTAAGTCCTGATGGTGTTGATAAGGAAACATTTACACGAGTGTTGAAGTTCATAAGAGCACAAATAACCCTACAAGCAAACATTTAATAGATGAATCACAAGGCAAAGTGATCTGCCTGTCATAATCAACTCACTAACATTTATTTCGTTGTTTATGAAAAAAAAATAGTTATTTACCGTTAGGATGGGCAACTCATTCATCAAAGTTCCCGATAGGTGAAAAACCCCAGAAACAACATCCTTTCGAGTACATAAAATCAAGGAACGAAGCAATTCATTACGAAAGCTCTTAATGATCCAAAATGGAGGTAAACACTTTATTCATGGAAAGGATAACACATCGAGGTCAAATACGCAAATCAGGTATAACTGTCTCACTCGTTTAGGTGCGATTCCACAGAGTCCACATTAGTTCAAGCTGAAGTCTCCTTAAAAAAAAAGGCAGCATGGCCCACATGTGGAGCATACAGCGATGAAACTCTCAATATTAATTAGGCAATTGGTTGATGCCATACAAATAACGGAAAGTAAGAGCAAAAAGTGTGAACCTTGTTACCTTTGAGGCCAAGATATGCTTTGAACCTCGAAGAGGAAGCAGCCAGCAAGATGAAAGCCGCTTTCTGAGTGCTATTACACTCACATGCCCGCTTTCACCTCACCTTATCTCCTCTCCTTCTAGCAGAAAAATCTCGCAAGTAAAAAGCGAACTTTTACGAGAGGTTGGGGAGAAAACGCCTAGGCAATTCAGTGCCAGCTATGAGGGTACACACAATGTCAGATTTTAAAATGTAGACTCTATCTTTTTTGGGATAGCACTCAAAATCGAGATGATACTTCAGGCGTGTTCCGTTGTGACAAATAACAATTCCATTAATTCAGCATCGTAAAGTATGTTAAACGAGAAGAAAAAATAAACCTACCAAGCAAAGCATGTTAAATTAAGCCACCTTTTTCCAAAAAACTTCCGGGGTAGAAAAGGTCACTGGAGGGTGAAAGTTCCATCAATCCGAGCTGCCAAAGCCTCCAACCTGTCACGAAGGAGTGACAAGTCCTCCCTCCCTCACATTTTTCACTTTGCCTCAAGTCTTCAACTGCACCCACTCCTACCTCACCCCCCAACGTATGTCAGTTTTCGCCACCCGAGTGACCTCCAGTATTAAGAAAAATTACACAAGCTCAGAGGCTGGTGGCTGCCATCCGATTAGTCACAAATTTCCCCACATAATAGAATCCAGCAAAGACCAAAAGAGTAATCTAGGTGGAGGAGATGGATCTGCGTACTTCTTTGCGGCAATACCTAATTCAATGAAAAGATTTGGATATCACTGTCGCAACTAAAATGTGATATTGTCATTTAAATAAAATGCTTTCATTTCCCATGGTAAAATCATGTAACCGCCGAAGAAAGCCTCTAAGTGGACATATTTACAACAACGAATTTTGTATCTACAACTGAGGTACTTTATTAGAAGTGGAGCCGACTGACCTCTAATAGGTAGGGCCTTTACCTGAGGACGAATGTGACTTTTTCTGTCTAGCCTTATAAAATCGGAATTCATAGCTACTCCGATTGTCTTTCAAGGCTACACATGTCGCTTCTATTACTGACAGGATCTGTTCATCCTCTTTTGAAAACGCCTTCAAAGCTGTGGCAGAGTTTACTAATATGCTCGACGTTCTAGTCATGTTTCATCCATGAGATTCCCCTGCATAATGAAATTCGACTGATTTGCCTGTTATCACACTCCCACCATTTGAAAAAAATACATCCGCTTCCCTGCCAGAACTACTCTGTTGAAGGTCCCTAAGCATCACAAGTCAAATATGCTTTAGTAAGCACCTAATTTAACGTCCAAGATGACTTTATGGGTCTGTCCCATAAGAGCACTGAAGATCTTTTAAGGCTTCCAAGTTTATTAAACTATTTTTTTTTAAATTGCACCTCAATTGTACACATTAAGCTAAAGTCAAACTCTTTACCATGATAATGTAGAGGCCAAACCGACCATCAAGTCTCCCAGGAAACCTTTTTCATCCTATACTCCTGGATTAGGGCTAACTAATTTGAAATATTTTACATGCGATTAGATACTCTGGTTGTTGCGCATCGAATTCTTTTATCCATTACTGAAAAAAAGGTGAAGGGAGCTAGTTTCGAAACAAAAGATGCGGTAAACCATACTGCAGTAAACGTTTAGATTGATGGTGGCAAAAAGTGTTCCATACGCTAAATTGGTCTCCCAAACAAAGCTAGTGTTGTAAGTCAGTTCGCTGATAGACACCAGATCTCCGAGAAGGTTCGTGCGGTTTTCAGTGCGGGTAGCTGGAATGATTTGTGGTAGCTTTTGGACAATCTTATAATGTAATAGTTTATGATGCAATATGAAGCACGGGTATGTATCAGCCTATTACTACCCTTTTCTGTGCTTTGTATTATTTACCCCTTATTTCAGGAATTCATATCAAAAAATGTCGGTTGAACTTAATGGATGGGACTCAGACTTGTCTGCTTTACGGACTGAGTTTAGCTTGGTTTCAAAGTTGCAGAAACCTTTTTATCAAAATGACTGTATAGCAGTTGGAAAAATGGTTTAAGAAGTGTGATTCTAGTGATAAATTTCCCAAAGAGGCATCACATTCAGCAAGCTTAAGATATCAAGAGCTTTCAATTATATACAGCACCATTAGTGGTGAAACGAGTGGTTTACACCTCCATAACTAACTTTTTTTACTTCTTACACTTTTGTTATGAAAATGATGTGCATTTTAGACTGCTTGCCCACTGATCCGTGATGAGGAATGGCCTTTTACTCCAAAGTTAAGCTGCCAACACACACGATTGGCTGTTCACTACTCGCTTCCAGCCTCCAGGACACGCGCCACATCATCCTCACAAGATTATGCTTCGTGTGAGTGTGTATGTTTGTAGTGGACTCCAGACCGAATCGTCCACCAGTTAAAAGCTAAACAATCACGTCTCAGATCTACCCGTAGCAATACAACTTCTTCAAAAACAGCCGAGATAAATAAATCAGTCGGATGAAAGTCCTCTTCTCACAGCACAGGGCAACGCCAGACCTCACACCTCAGAGAGCCGCAACACTTATCCGTAAAATAAGTTACGGCTTGGGATGAGGGAGGGAGGAAGGTACTGCCACATCCGCATCTTCTGTATTTCTCTAATGTTTCTCCAAGTGATAACCGCCTTTCCTTGAAATTCCACAATCACATACAAAGTGGTGTGGGCAGTTGGAAAACAAAGGTGAGATAAAAAGGGAGGTGACCAGGGCTAGGCTATTCCTTGGCTTCTAGAGACAAAACGACTTATGTGGGTTTTGCAGCAAGCTCGTGCCTTGTTGAGAAAGGAAGGTAGATTAGCCAATAAAATAATTTAAGAAGCTTTCTACACTTACTTAATTTTTAATTTACAAGAGAACACAAACTTATATGGTTACTTTATGGGCTGGGAGAGCCAGCTGCCATGGTTGAGTACCATTTATGGCCAAATAGAGCGCTGAGTAAAGTGCGTACATACAGGTGCGAGAATTGGAGTAGACGTCGTATTTGGATTGCCATACCAGATAAGCAACGGGTTGAAAGCACCCGGTGCAGACACACCATCACCAGATAAGGGATGTACGCACAAATAACACTTTAAAATCAAATATTGCTTCATACAAACTCCCTTGGTTAAGGTACCAGATAAAATGCACTGGATGCCCATCACTCCCCAAAAGATAAAAGAATACCAAAAATTTATTGTGGGAAAATATGTCGAAAGTAAAATACACAACTCATTCGAAGTCCTAAGCTTCTGAATGCTTGACATGTCATACTGATACACGGATAGAGGTGCTATCTTACCTTTTCAATAAGTCCATTTGAAACAAAAGGATCGGAAATAATGAAAAAAATAAACTAGAGATAATAGGAAACTGCTTAATCAACAGTTTTAGCTTTGAAAGAGAGTTTCCAATCATGTTAAGAAAGAGAGATCTGAGCACTTTAGCAAACACAGGATAAGTGAATATTTTTTTAGGCAGAAACGCTATTAGGATATATTTGCAGCGCCTATTTTTATGTAAATGGAACACACCGCACAGCATCAGTATGCATTAATTATGTATCCTTTTGCCAGTAAACCCAACCGACTATTATCCTCCTGTAATTGAAAGAAGAACAGAAAATCGGACTGCGTGCAACTTCAGCGTAGACACTGCATTTGCAGACACAAAAAGACACTGAGAATAAAAGGTAGCTGAAAAGATAATGCCCCTCTCAACGTCCCTATGCAAGCTACAGTCTCAGGACCCCAAAATGCAGTCAAGTGCAAGGCAAGATCAACAATTTTCTGAAAGCTAAAAACAGCATGATCGGTTATGTCTGATTTTTGACATTGTTATGACGCAATCACAGCTATTTTGAAAGTGCAAACGTATTATGCCTAAATCACTTCTATTAAAAGCCCACCAGATCTGTACATTTGTTGTGACGTCTTTCGGGAAGAAGTAGGCGCTACGAATGATTATGTAAGTATTTTTAAGCATGGCTATCTAAAGTGCCAAGAATATGAGAAAGTCAACAAGTTTCTACCCCGAACCGACCAGTATTTACAGAGAAATAACTAACTTGAATATCGATGTCCACCAGTTTTAGAATAGCAAAAGTAGTGATTTTATAAGTTAATGCATCCGATAGGAAGGGTTTTAGTAGGCCAGCCAATGCACAGATTAAAACGAATCATCTACACAACTTACCACCATCAAGAGGTATTTGGATCTCCACAGCCATGACAGGCTCCATGACTTTCCACTCGGGCAGACCAGCCAATGCCTTTGACTGTGCTTTCATCACAGTAGAGCGAAGGAGGGCAGCGAAGGATGCAAAGTTCTGCGAGGCTAGTGGCACCTGCAGCCGCGCCAAGTCGGCCCCCATGACTGTAGTGTCAGCGGAGGTGGCGGAGGACAGCTGACCGACGCGGCGGATGCGTACACCCACACCGAGGACGCGCGAACGCAGCAGAGGACCGCCCGTGGATAGCGCCACCTCGCAGCCCTGTCGCACACACGTCATCACCTTATGTTGACTCGCAGTCGACTGATAAGCATCTCCGCTGCCGCCGCCCCCCTTCTGACCCTCTAGGTTCCAGCCCTTCTCGAAAATCACCTGTGATAGACGAACCAAAACAAATGAGATAATTACACTCAGTTTTATTTTCGAAAATAGACGTGCTTTCTTTCAATACTGCGATCAAGTGACAATCGAGAAAATGATTTACTTAAACGAAGTGAAAATCATGTTTTTTTACCTAGATTAGTAAAAATTCTAAAAAGGCATTTGGATGGAGGTAAAGGGAAGGGAATGTAACTTCATTCCACTCACTCACAGAGAAGAGGCGTTGGTGCCAATGTTCAAGACAGGCTTGAGGCACACAGCAGCTCTTCTTCAATTTTGTGGCTCAAGATAATCAAGAAATCGGCTCATTTAAAGCCCACACGGGCAAAATGGCAATATCACTTGTTTGGCCAGATTAACAGAACTGCCATGAATTGATAGTAGCTACTCGTCGGTAATTGGACATTTTCATCGGTCAGTGAACTGACGGTTCACTAACTTGACACCTTGCAAATCCCAACCCTCTTAAATCACCTGAAATTACATTTATCACACCGTACATAATTTTGGAAAGCAACAGCATCCACTTATACACATAAACTCCAGACTACTCAATCCATTTACTTTAGATTACAATATTACCTCAAAATGGGGTACCACACATCTCTTTTTAATTTTTTGAATGCAATTACCAAAATGTGCTCACTGATGTTAATTTACTAATGAAAACTCGAAGAAAATTTCCCGAAAAGTTTTCAAGGCACGTTCAAAGTGTTTTATTAAAGGGTAACAAACGTGACTTGAAAGTGAGAAAAACCATAGTTTGGTTAGACACAAAACCAACGTTCATTCACAACAGCATTGCTAGCTTCTCGGGTTTATCAAGTATGTTCAAATTTTACTCGATTCAGGTAATTTCATAAAAGGCGAGTAAAAAATTGTACAGGACATGCGTCTAAAATTGGGAGCTGAAAAAAGTTCCTCCCTTTAACGAAAGGGCAAAAGTGCTGAGGGAATGGAAAATATGGTCCATTTAGGGATAAAAGTCGAAGAAAGAGAAGAGATGAAGCCTCCCTGCTCTCCCAGGGGGGACAAGCCAGAGGGCGTGACTGAAGGCGCGAAATTGAGGCACAAGATAATAACTTACCAGGAGTCAACAAACACTAGCTCCGCTAAACAATCCCTCCCCAATTAATGACCTAGATTCAAATCATCACGTGAACACGCAGGAAAGGCAAAACTGGGCAGTGGTTTTGATGGACTGAAGCTATAAGCCAGCTAACTGGAATTATCAAAAGTGGGCTGGGGTTTGAATCGGCAATCCTCAGCCAAGTAATAGGTGTTGTGTGCTGGGAGGCATTTATGGCATTAGTGAGAGCAGTCACGAACTGTATGGCAGCATTGTTGACGTAAATAAAGAAGAAGCTATCCATGGGCATGGAGGAGAGATAAAATCAAGGCTCTCGGCAAAACACTGCAAGAACGGACAGGCATGTGTGGTAAGTTTATGAGTCCCCGATATTCCCCCCATTTTAGTTCACCCACTAGAGTTATGAGAAAGTATAAAGTGAAAAACACGTTATTTACAAAATGAAAAGCAAAGTGCTCATTAGTCAGATTAAGAGAAATTTGGAACAAAGTGGGAGATTAAAGTGGCTAGGGACATTAGCACACACTGCGGCCCCAAACAATGGGAGACATTGCGTGTCGTTCATTTCAATGCTCCGCCTGATTATGCATGCCAAACTATACGGACTCAGAGAAGTGACAATAAAGCTTTCCGGCTTTTGAATCGAAATGAATGATGGCGGTTGTAAAAAGAGCATGCAATGGCTTAGAGGTGGTCTTCAAAATACGCCTTTTTAATCTGGCCATAGGGCTCATGGGAATATACCGGTTGACATCCACTGTTCTATGCAAACAAGAACAATAGGATTGAGTTACTTCCCTTCTATTCATCACAGAAAAATAAACGGAAAGGAGAATGCAAAAAAGGACGGTGAGCATGGCTGAACTCGAGTGGTCCGGGGTTGATAATTTAATTTAGAGATCGCTCTGTTCCAAGGATAATTTCTTCGAAGTGTGCCGATTGAGCACATTCTTGAAAGCATGGAGGTGGTGAATAAATGCACTGACATAAAAGTGGACTCTCGCAGTAACAATAACGCTAAGAAAAGTAAACGTAGCCTCCACGAAACCGAGTGTAGAGGGAAAATGCTACAGACGAATGCATTCTTTGTCCAAAATTTGAGTGAAAGCTCACTAGCCGATTTGGATTTGCAAAGTAGATGAATGGTCTGCCGAGTGGATATTAATCTAGGATTTGTAAATTCTCAGCCTTCACATTGATAGGACCACCTATGGGGAGACTATAAACCGTCAAAAATTATGAAATATTCTTCGATTGGAAGAAATTCTCCTAATTTGGCTCAACTTTTTTGTTACTTCATAAGATCATGAACAAAAAATTGCCATGTTTGCTCAAAGGGAATAGAAAATAAGTAGCAATGTAGAACAAACAAAGTCGCCAATGGATCCGCGTGATAGAGAAATGATATTATAAAACCGAACAAAGGACGAATTACAAGAAAGGTACGACCTTTTCCGATCTGCTAATAGTCAACGCTTGTCAATAAGCAGTAGGGACAGGCATAGACTTGAATGTGGACAGCGAAATGAGCCCTCACAAACCCGCAAAAAATAGACAAATTAGTATACTTATGGCTTGTTCCTTGGGATTAATATCAATTTGAGACATAGCTAAAGATGACAGCATCCTGTACGTACCCGGGATCTATTCGAAGCACTCATATGTCCATCGGAGAACACGTCAAGTTCCACAAATATACTCCTTTGTCGTCCACCAATCAGACCTGGAAGGTAATACGCTCTTTAGAGTGCTATGCTCTTTCCTCCTGCCTTCTTATAGGAGCAGAGCAGAGATGAGGTTGAAACAATTCTTCGCGAAGGCACTTTTATCATGCGTATAGAAAGATGGAGTCTGCTTTAAGAAAAAACCGGGATGACTAACTAAGTTTTTATTACAAGTTATAAAAAATAGCCCAGTCACCCGTTTAAGTGTTCCAGTCGAGCGTCGTTCTGGACATGCGCGGCTGCTAAATGGTCCTGTGAGATAACCGATCACAAGCAACGATATGACAATATAAATTTACCAGATGTCAATGTCGATGCAACATGAACGCAGTTTGGTGTTTCCAGTCCTAGCATTGGATACACAAAGATAAGTTACGGCAGATACGTATTTAAAAAAAAAAAACTAAGAAATATAAAAGGCCCCGAAACGTTACAGATAAAGTGGCAGTAGCCAAACCATCGCCTTATCATGCTTTTGATACGGAGAGCATTCAAATCGAAATGTAGTTGAGACTAACGTTACCTTCTAAAGTTGGGCACGTTTTCTCGTTAGTAGTAATAAGGGTAATGCTGACCTTAATGAACTTTTGCAGGCAGAGACGTTCACAGTCGAGACAATTGTCCACCAATAATAAACCATTATGTAACCACCTTAACAAGCACTCACAAGGAAGTTCTGCCACGGCATTTTTTGTGCGATATATGCATTATCAAAGTAGCCAGCAAGGAGTACAAGGACGGAACTAACACATCCTCTTTTTTAGTTACGGCAAAAACTACTCCAAAATGATCTGAACAATCGGCGGATTCTCTTGCTGTTCTATTTGGGCAAATAGTTAGTGGTAGAATGCTATGTTGAAGGCACATAGATTAAGAAATCTAGCCAATTTTGAGCCGAAAAAGTGGGTAAGAATAGGTGTTTAGACGTAAGGTTTGGTGTATGCATTCGTTGCAGAACAGCGCCATTTCCCAACAGCTCATTTATCACAATCCACATGAACAGGAATATTTTGGAAGTAAAACAAACCAGAAAATCTTTACAAACATTTATTCCATGATTTTGCTGCACAAGCTAAATTGTTTGCTGGAAAAATCAAAGCAAGTGAATCGAGAGTAGGCGGAGTCAAACTCGTTAAATTTTTGGGTAAGAACTTCGTGACCCACGATGCCTCGATAACTTTTAAAAAGTATTCACTTGCTTAATAAGTTATTTCGACTCTAGAGTGATAAAAATGAATTGCATCTCCTCGCTTTTGGTTCAGAGAATGCACATTCTCAAACTGTTAAACACACTGTTGTTTATAGGATAAACCTGCGTTTTCTGCATAAATGAAGGAGGAGTCACTGAAGGCACGATCTGTTCCTTAAAGCAAGCTGTTAAAGGCAAAGAGATGATTAGATTGACCTAGTGTTTAAAGTGGCAAACGCAAGCAATTGCAAATTTGGTTTCACTGATCCACTTGCTCGGTAATGCGCAATTGCAAATGGCTAAAGTTAAGGAAATTTGCGACAGAAAGGCAGTCGCTATCATGTCAACTTTTGATAACCACGCTACTCTAAAAAACTGTTCTACGACTCTAAACGAAGCAATATCATAAATGGAAACAGACTCAGAAGAAATGCATACAATTTCTCGCGTATGCGGTCCGACGGTACTAAATGAATGGGAGAGCGTATTTTTAAATTACTTTACTTTTAGGCCAATTTATACACAAAAGACACTCGCTGCAAACACCGCCGAGCCGTAGTCGAAGAAACACGACTGAAAGTGACCTGCGCAATTCAGATCCCACGCCGATAATAAGTCACTTGCTCACACGATACACCCCAAGATTCCCAACTCTTCTGTGCATTTATTGTAAGCCCGTGACTAAATTAAGGTATCTTACACCTTCAGTAAAGACTAGAGGGATATAGTTAAACGTTCATGAGAGTGGTTAAGACATAAAACAGCAAGCAGAAGGGACAAACAAATTGTGACACCATTTTTACTGTTCAAACGATTTCTTTAACTTAGAGTGAAATTAAAAGGATGAGCAAACAAACCTGTCGAGACGGCGGTCCCACGGCACTCATGACCAGCCCGCGGCATCTCCTTGTGCGAGGTAAGAAGAGGGCCCATGTTCACCTCCAGTCGGTACTCCCGACGCAGTCGCGAGAGCACCACCTCCAGGTGCAAGTCACCCATGCCCGCCACCACCCACTGACCCGTTTCCTTGTCAAAAGTAGCCTGGTGCGGAGGGAGACAAGAGAGCTAAAGTGCGGAGCCACTCGGTGGGAAGTTTGGATAACAGTAACTATTTTCTGCTAAAGTGAAAGCTTAAAGATAGCTCTAATGACTGGCTGAAAATTGCTTCAACCGTTGGATAGCAGCGGACGTTATCTGTAAGGCAGACAACATGGACGATCGTAGGTAACGAATATAGGAGCTATTTGACTTCAAAGTTAGGTTGCGAAGCTTAAATAAGTGTGCTAATTACTTCTCGTAATCATCGTTTTTAGCCGAAAGTCTAGTCATTCCATGCGACTAAACTGCAGTTAAAAATACCTTCTTTCAGTTATTCAAGTTCAAGATAAGTTAAGTATGGGTGTATAGTCGAATAAGGGGAGTGGATCGATTCAAACCAATGTCTGTTCTGTGTTAGAGTTACCTCGTCCGTGGAATACGAACGAAATCGGGCTTGTGACAGTTCACAACGGTTATTTCCACTCAAAGAGCCATTCAAACATACGGAGGGATAACAGATCACGGTAATTCAAGTTGAAAAAGGCAACTTCATGTACTAGTGGGTGGGTACACAGCTACAAAATAGATAACCCATTCCATTTCGTATTGAGGCTAGTTTTTATCAGTCAGAAAAATGAAGAAATACTACCACTAGAAACTCATTGATGACTTCTTAGTAGCTGCTTCCAATTAAAGGATTTACCACCCTTCATAAGCAAACCACTGCTAAGGTTTAGGGGATTAAAAGAAAATTTAGATTAAAACAACACTCTCGTGGGTAAATAAAAGATATACAAGGGTTGCTTTGATCACATGGTAGACATCCAATTGATCTATTAATAAAATCGTGCTACTGACTTTTTATAATTACTATTTTATCTAAAGATGTCAAGATTAAAAATTGGGTCCATAGTCAGGGCAAAATAAAACACACGAAAACAGGATCTCAAGAGGCATCATACCTAGAAAACGCCAGACGATAATTTAGAGGATGAAGCAAATGATTCGAGGGTAAGTATTAAGATGCGTTGAAGATGCACTGGTAACAGCAATTTGTCGGAAATGTTGAGCCCAAAGATTGTGTTACCTGCAATCAAACTCGATTGCATTTTGGGTGAATAAGAAAAATAACGCAATCTTGGGTTGAGAAATAACACCTGCTGTTTGTTATTATCAGCGCATATTGAGAAATATACCGTTAAAGGTGTTATTTTTGTAGTTTCAATATAATTAGGACATTATGTATAATTATGAAGTGTTTGAAAACAGACGAAATACTGACGGTTGACACACGACAGCGAAACGACGACTTCATGTGAAAACAAGCATACTCGACTAACAAGCCATCAACAAAGGACGTTGTACTCCAACAGTGGGACAAGAAAACCAAACAATACTACTTCCTAATTAGCCATTGAATAATTAAGTCTTTCCTCCTTGAGGTAATGCTGGAAACAGTTCTTTAGTTGACATGAGAAATATGACTGAACTCAGGCATTGCCAACATTTCCTTTCAAATAATTAGTTTCTCAGAGTACATGATAATAGGCAGTGATTTTTACAAGTAAATGGCAGTTTGTAAATAATTCAACATTTGCTAGCAATCTCATTAGAGGAGAACGGTAACCTTTAGATTGGAATTCTGCACTGAAAATCAACACTAGTTGGGACTTCTATAGATCTGACAACAATAAAGCTTCGGAAAATGTCTTTAATACTCCACAAATTCCGCTAAAACTACTTTTAGCCCTTTCATTCCTCCGGACATAAAAAAAACTAGGCCCACAAGATCACATTCCACAGTTGTAGAAAAATTACTTTGAAACTAGGATCTTCCCGCTGCATGCAAGTCAAAGCATGCTCAAGATTTCGAAAGGTGGAGCTGCTTCTCGGTTCCAGAGCAGCATGGACGACTGGCTGAGGAACAAAGGCACTATCAACTCCTCCATCCGTTCCTTCATCCTCCTCAGAATCAGGGAGATCTGGCGTCACAGGTCCAAGAATATCCCCAGTTCTAGTTGACTGAAGACCACTCAAAGCCACAATGCTTCCAGGACCCGCACAGTCAACTACCTCGTAGTTGTCGCCTGTAAGTTGTAGCAGGGCTCCGATCTAAAGAAGAATTTCAAATAAATTCACTACTGAATACCACTAAATACGTGCTACTTTGAGACCCACTTTTTCGACTGAGGAGGCATCCTCCAAATCTTGACGCGTCCAATTCCTAATTAGCATGCCCGGTGTAACGTAGCCGGAGAAGACGCGAGTCAGGGAGAGGGGACCACGTTGGGGGTCGAAGAGTATTTTGAATGTGAGGAGGACTGGTAAGGACTGATCTTCATGAGGGGTAGAACGCTGAATTCGGCTGAGAACACTAGCAATGAGGGGAGGTGGGGGACGCTGGGAGGGATCAGGTAGATAATCAACTACCCCATCCAGAACGGGTTGTATGCCAATGTTTCGACGGCTACTGCCCAGCACGACTGGAAAACCACGGGAGGATGTGGTAACCTAAAGTGGGAATGGGGATCCAGCTGCGCATCACACCTTGACTTAGGGGCGGCTTTCCATTTTGGAGTAAAGGTTAGAAAAACATGCCTTGAAGACCCAAAATTTTGCGATATTAACTAAATCCCTCGGGGATCATCAGAGTTATGGGTAGAGTGAGAATAATTCTGCTGTGTTCGGCCTGAAAGTGGAAGCATTTATGGCACGCATTTAATTATGCGTTGGAGTTAGTAAAATTTCAATTTAAGCTGAAGGACCTTAAGGACTGACTAACTTGGGAAAATGTCATTTCAGAATGGACTACAAACGGAAAAAGTGAAACGAAAAAAAAATTAGGAGAAACTACATCATTATGCATAATGAAGCACAAGTAGCGATTTGTTAATCTAAGGAATCATTGGTTAATAGAAGTAATGATTTGAGCAATAATAGCTTGCAGTATGTATTTCTGTAGTCGAAAAGTTATATTTTATGACATTCAGTTAAAAGCTAGCAACTCAAATAGGTCAAACTGATTGTAATTGTTCTGGCTTCTCGAGAAGTGTGATTGGGTTTTGATAAATGTTCCAATCAAATGACGATAAACGCACCTTAAAATTGAAATGTAAACATCCAATCTTCAGGAGGCACAAAAGGATAAAAAGTGGTTAAAAGTTAGCAAATAACATCTAGTATCCAACGGCTGTAAATAAAGGATTGTAGAGGCTCAAGGGAAAACAAGTCCACTCACTCGTTTCACGCAGTCGTGAACAACATCTGCAGGAAGGAGGCTTTCAGGAGTGTCGAGAAGGAGGTACTCGTTTGCAAAAGCATCATCCAACTCCGCTAAGGAGGCAAGCAGCTGTCCACGGGCTTTCAGCGCCAACGGCACAACTGCGGCAACACCAAAAACTGCCGACTCTCCTGATTTTTGGGGTTCTTTAGAAGCCAGAACCTTAAGCAAATCCGTTTGGGAGAAACACCGGCTAGTCTGTTTTTGTGTTGTAGGCCATACCTGTAATACAAAGATGAGGTGACGTAAAAGTTATTTTAAAACGGTAGAACTAACTCATTTACTTGTGAAAGGGAAGAAAATCCAACGAAACTACCTGAGATTAGCAGTGCGTAAGGTGTTACAAGACATATTTTTGTTATTTTGTCAAAAAAAGATAAAGGTGGATGACTAATTTACTACGTATGTTCATGACCACCGTTAAGAGTAAGGCGAGAGGATAGAAGAGAATACCTTGAGAGTGAGAGATGGCAAATCGACGATTCCGACGAACTGATCCTTCCCGATGCAGACCGGCATTTGAAGGGGAAAGAAAGCGCCTCCAAAACGTTGACGGAGTGAACGAAGACAGTTGTCAAAATTAGCCATTGGACGGTCCATCTTGTTGACAAAAATCAGCCTCGGCAACTGGTATCGATTCGCTTGAGACCTGAACGCTCCAAAAGTGGTGTGAGGGGTGGAAAAAGAGAGAAGAAGGGAACGAGAGGAGGGCACGACCTACCAGACAGTGCGAGTCTGTGTCTCCACACCCTTACAGGCATCGATGATGACGAGAGCGGAGTCGACGGCGGTGAGCCCGCGCTCCACCTCGAAAGTGAAATCGACGTGTCCCGGCGTGTCGATGAGGTGAATGTCGTGCTGGCGCCAGGTTAGGCACGCCGCAGCGCTCATTATGCTGATTCCACGCTCCCTCTCCTCCGCCAGGTAGTCCGTTACCGTGTCGCCTCTGTCAACCTCGCCAACCGCACGCGTTCGACCTATATCGATGAGAAGATCTTTATTCACTTATTTATTTCAGTTCCCAAAAGAAAGGAGGAATGGTTCACCAGCGAAGAAGAGCATCCTCTCAGTAGTGGTTGTCTTCCCCGCATCGATATGAGCAATGAGACCAACATTGCGGATTTTGTGGATACTCCCCTCAGGTGCAACTGCTGCGTGGTGTCTGCAGCGCCAGGCTAGGCCGACCCGAGAAAACGTGCCACAGCCAGGGCAGCCCACCACCCGAAACAACGTTGTCTAAAACAGCAAAACGGGTACGTCTAGGCCTCTGCTTGAATTTAAACCCATACAATTAACAAGTCCCAAGAATCATTTAAAAAATGGAAAGCTTTACATAATAATATATTGGGCGATACCACAAGCTTTATAAGAAATAAAGAAAGACTAGTAAGTCCTATAATTTGCGTATGCTCGGTTTTCCTCGCATTGCTTTAAAAGTTCCTTCTTTTTACCAATCGCCGTGCCCTCGTTATTAGCTGCATTGATAAGTTCATGCGCGAGAGAAACCCAAATTCTCTGATTTTTGTCCTTATTTCTGGCTGACTCCAGAATCCAACGAATTGCCATATGACGAGAAACAGTTTCATTCTGTGGAGGGGCAGGAACCTAAGAACAAGCAAATTCCAAACTAGATTGTGACGCAGCTGATGAACACGATAAAGGGAAACAAAGTAAGTACCTTATAGATGAAACCGCCGCGACGGACAGAGTGAAGTACAAGAAGCGGGGAACAATTTGTAACAGCCTCATTAACTATTTTGATAGGACTGACTTCCACCGCGTCGGACTCCGCCCCAACCAACCTTTTACGCTTAGCCATCTACAAAATAATGAGTCTGTGTGCTACAAACTACCTGTATGAACTTTATTTCTGCGAAGGTTTTACGCATCACTTCACGAACCGTCTCACGGTCGCCATCATACAACATCATTCCCATTATTTTAGCAACAACAGGATCCCAGTTTTTGCTGGAATGTCGCCACTTCGAAATTGGTTCCACGGTCTTATAAAGGAGTGGATCGTTGATGTCAAATTGTGTATCCGGGGGCAAGATTTTCGGTTCAAGGGCATAATGATACTTCTTACCACGAATCGGCTGAGAAAAATTGTAGGTTGGGGTGAGCCGTGAGAAAGGAAACACAAATCTTAACGGGAACATCCCTACCTAGAATCACCCCACCAGCTGACCATAACAAGGTTCAGGGCTTACCGACTCACGCGGCAACTCGCGAAGAAATTAAAACAAATTATGCAGTAAGTATAGAATGGGTTGTGTCAAACCAACACAATTTAGTTGTTAAGGAAAATAAATTCAACTTATGGGTTTTAGCACGCCTTTATTAACAGCGTGACTAGGAGGATGACCCGAAAGTCCTCAATATGCATGAAGCTTGAGCGCCCTAAAATACGTACCACTCTACTGCCCCTGCTTCGACCACTACTCTAGATCGTTGCTCTAACTTCGTTTTACAAAGCATCTCGCCTATAACTCAATTTAGATCAAATATGAATTTTGGCATTAGGCTATTATTTCGGTACTGTACTTTATTGTGCTCAAAATCCATAGGAAAACAATGTTATTATATGAACATTGTTGAATTGATTTCACTTATAACTGTTAACCTTAAACTGCCATATATATGTAAAGGAGAACTATTTGATCATTCGTATAATCATTTAGAAATGTATTTGCACCTTGCTCAATAGATTTTCAACCGATTTTTATTATCATTATCTAAGTTGTTTAATGTATCCATATTACTAGCCACCTAGGAGGCTAAAACGATTAATCTTTTAAAATAAAATTAGATTTTTTAATGAGCAAAGAACCAAATGATGCAATAACGGAGGAACAGCTACTAACGGAATGCTCCGCATGACGAAAGTCATAGCTCAATGAACATTAAATTACCGTATAGCCCTTTTCTTTTTTTAGGCGTTGTTCTCAGCTTTGTCTAGGCCACTCTTCTGCTGCAATACTTTAAATGCTGTGCACAAGCCGGGAACGGAAGTCATTAAATTTTTAAGGAGGTATAAAACATTTAGTCCATCAATTCTAGAGTATCACCTTCTTTGTAAGCTGCTTGGCAGGAGTAGGATGCACTGTTTTTCTGCTTATCACAACCGCGTTATACTCTGCGATAAGTACGTTCTATACGCCAATCTCTGTTCTTAGGATCACCCGCCTAAAATTAAGTCTATTTAATGAAAGACAGTCTCACAAAGTTACTATTCCCTGTCTGTACCGCCTTGCCATCATGTTCCCATTTTATTACCACCTATACGTCTACTCGGGTTCTAGTTATCCACTTGATACATGATGGAGGCATCAGTTGCACACTCCCACTTTTCCCATGTAGTTTTCGTTTTCAAATCAGTCAGGTGTGATGTTGTTAACTGGATGCATGCACAAGACGAGGTGATTGCCAAATGGGAACGCTTTTTTGCAGATTTAGCCGTATGCAGCATGTCTCCTTTCCCTGAAGTAAAATTTGTGGTAGAAAGCCGAAGTAAACAGGATAGTTGCCTTTCTGAAGCAAATTTGCCTGCGGTTGCCACAAATGAAATACCCTCTTCTTAACCCATCTTTGAGTCATAATGAGACATGACAGTAGGGAAGATGATTTACCATTAATGCCCAAAAGGGCCAGGAAGCGCTTCTACACAAGTGTGAACCGCATCCAATCTACAAATATTTGGCTTCCAAAGTGTGCTACTTGAACGGAAAAGATTTGATAAGAGCCGATTTTCCTACTTTCAAAATGGGTTTGAATTCATATTCAGTTCCTTTTTAAAGTACAATGTGTCGAATCATATTTTATAGAGGTGTTATTTATTGAAAAAGTTGTAAATTTTGACCACAAACCTTATTTTAACTTCACAGCGGTTACAAGTGACGTCATTTAAAACTCCAAAAGGTATTTCCGAATGGGGCAAAGAGGGAGTGATTGCATTGATACATCCAAAAAACCAGGAATTTAACATTCCCCGGTACTCTTTGGGGGACTATAATACAGTAGGCAATTGGGATACATTAAAGGGGAAGGAGAGGGTTTATGCACTTTGTTTTATGCCTCGACAACGTCAAAAAGGTCATGTCAGCAAAAAAAGGATTAATTACTTGAGATTTTCTTAAAAAAAGGCCTAGAGGCAGAGGCTAAATGGCTAAATAATTAATTCAAACCATAGACTGAATGCAAACATGTTGTGCAAGTATTTGAAAGGTTGATTTATTCCCCTAAAAGTGCTCTTTAGTGACTCTGTCCCGTGTTCCAACATCACTTTTCTTATGAAGTTGTCAAAATTTGTAAAATGGTATTTAGTATTGCTGTTTTCCTTGCCACATTCCATCCTGCCCTTGCCAATGGTAGGAGTGTGCCTGTTTGAATGGCAAACTCATCTTTCCATTTTTTGTAAAGGAGGGATTAGTCAGAACAGCAGTTCCTCGTTATATTATTCCTAAAAAGGGGCCCACTTTGTAAGAAATTATTTTGGGGACATTTTACCAGCTTTTGCAAACGCAACAACTGCAAACACTTCCTGCCCATCGAAGCGCAGACGTGCACACACCAAGGCATTTATGGATAGGGCTCAACTCATTTAATTTATGCAATACTTTTAACTTAATTGTTTTCTGGGGGAAATCTAGAGGTAACTCGTCATATTTGGTGTATTTTAATGACTTCTATTCATTTAGTCAAATGGAAGCAACATGGTAATCTTTGAGGTACCTAATGGACATATTTACAACTGCTTGGAACAAATAAGTATAAAAACCCACTTTTTTATTAGCGGTATTTGGCCGGATTTTGTCAAAACTGACAATAACAATGAATTGATTTACCGCCCTGAAGGAAGAGAATGCTCTGGAGCACTAACTCGTCTAGGGCCCGAAGTATCGACCTAGCGTTATAATGCACCATTCCATGAAATGGCTAAGCGTCGAGTTCACTTTCGCTACATTTTAGGTGTGTTTAATTAAGTAATCTCCTCCTCTCAGGCAAACACTCGAACTGCCTTTTGCGAGTATGCGACCCCTCGACAAATCGGATGACTGGTCTCCATTCTATGCAAACGGAACTACAACCATTGCGCTCCCCGTTTGGGCGGACAACTCTGCCAGCCCATGGGATAACAAAATTCCATAAAATTGTACAAAGTGTTTAATTTGTAATAAGTGTTTATCCATTAACTTAATGTAATTGTAAGGTGAACTTTAAAAGGTCGAAACTCGAAGGAGGACTACGACTGAAGGCGCTTTCTTGTGACATTTCGGGATCAAGATGAACATGTTGGTGATAATGACTGCTATCAGACTGGTGGAATAAATTTTCTCAAGTTGAAGCATCTAGAATACAAATAAAACCCCCTGAGAATTCTCTGAGGACGAGAGGGGTCATAGTACTAGGTCAGAATATGCGTATATTCGATGTACAGAAGGGCTCGGGAGCTACTGGCATGGCCCGGCGCCCAGACTCCCCTGCCAAGGTGCAATAGAGGAACCACCAAGGTATGTTTGTTCATTGAGAACAATGGACGAGGGGCCCTGATCACGCTTCAGTGGGTTTAACACAACCAAGCTCGCAAGAGCTCGTCAACGCGTCCTAACAATGGAAATAACACTGTTGATTTAAAGAAGTTATTAGCAAAGAAGGTATGATCTGTCACAAGAAAAGTGCTATTGGCTGTGATAATAATTTCTCTTTACAGCCCGTTTTCCAAATTTTTGAGACATAAAAATTTTTGGATGGTGATATAATTGTACCCAATGGGACAATTTGCAATTAAAAGCAGTAAATTTATTTATAAATCACTTATAAAGGAAGAAGTTGTGTTCTTGGAATAATTGAGTATCATAAAGCACCATCCACCTAATTTATTTAGTATCTTTAGACAGATTGTGTGGTCCGGAGCAGAGGTTACGTATACAGCGGCATCATTGCTATGATCTCAATGAAGCGTGGCATTGAGTTGTCGGAACTATTTGCTGTGAAAAGGGAATAGCAGTGGGAAGCAATCCCCGACCCCACAAAAATGCTAAAGGGTAGTTGGCTGACTTTAAATTTCGCCGCAAGTTAGCTAACTTAGTTCGGGGTTGGGCGCTTGTTTATGTTTGTGTCTTGGGAATCAGGAACGATAAATAGTCACTGAACCCTCAGAAGTAGAAGGTTGTCCCACATTGCTTCTAAAGAGCAAATAGCGTCTTCAATCACACAGCTGATGACCGCCATCTTGTTTACTGCTCTAAAACTTAAAAAACCTAGATTTTGGAAGCGTTGTATGGTGGTAACGGCACGTTGTATTGTTTTCGTGGATGGGATGGCACAACCTATTAAATCAAGTCGTCCCTCTCCTCACATTATGCAGACACTTCCTTTTGTTTGATGTCATGTTTGCCACTTATTTTTGTAGGAAATTCCGTCAGCAAAACGAAGCATTCTAATTCCATACCAATTTAACCAAAGGCGACCTAATTACGAGGCTCAGAGATCTAAAGATCACAAGTAAATTCTGCAGTGCTTTGATGTTTTGTTTGAATGTGCGTTTAACTGCACGGGCTCCTCATTATTCGAGGATTGTTTTTTTCGCTCGACAGCATGGCGTTCCGTCTGTGCCCATAGCTTCCCAAGTCGTTTGTACTCCAACACCAAATTTGTCCCGTATTGCTGCCGCTTGTTACGAATTTGGGGAAGACTTGGTGTCCTACAGAGATATCTGACTCCCAAAACCCAAAATTTAATTAACGTGAGCCTAAATCCAGTCAGAACCAATTTTCCAGATTGACATTGTTTTGTTAGGAATAAGAAATGTAGGCCAATACCTTCTTCCTAAAAGTCTCATATTCTTGACTCGAGTTAATCGTCGTTTTAGAGAATGCCCTACAAAATTAAATAATGCACTGTCCACAGATTTGTACTGGAAGGTATCCACTGAGATAGTAATTTCATCACACCATCACAAACAAGAGCTTGTAAAGCCAGTAAAACATAGGTAATCCAGCTGTTCTCTATTAGGAAAAACCATTGCACTACATACATTTACTGAGTCTTATCAGCCTCCCATTAAATCGTAAAAACTATTTTTAAAGCGTAAAAATTTACTCAGCTCCTTAGTGAACATCTCACTGCTTCGGTAAATAGTTTTAGAGAATTTTTTGCTTTACCTCAGAGATTGTCCCTTCCACCGGAAATTGGGTAAGGAATCAAGCACACCCTGGATACAAGAGCCATCTATTTGAACACAAGCAATTGAGAGAGAATGTCATATTAGACGAAGTCGCAGCTTCTTTTTACGAATCAGAGTGAGAAGTTGAGCTTTTGAAAGTCCTACAATGAAGAAAAACACATTGCTTTTTACTCATCTGAACAGTCAGACACGTCTTTTCCAAGGGGAAAATAACATTAGAGGGGTGTCAGTCTGCAAAGTTTCTTAAACCACGTGTAGACATTTAAGTGTGTCAGCTTATTTTCTCATTTGGTCCCATCAAATTTGAAATGGAGTCGGGCTTCCTCCTCTGGGGTTACTCGGATCCAATGAACCATGCTACTTACCTGTGTTGCCGTTTTCGACCATTGCAGATTTTAACAAAGAAAATTCCTGCATGCACAGAAAGTATTAAAAATAACAAAAAAATATACCCTATGAATCAACTATCAGGCCTTATTTACACATCGTCAACATCAGAGTTGGCATTTGAATAATGTGGTCTAGGCAGCAAGCCGAGTGATTTAGCACACAAATAGGGGTAAAAGTGGTATTAAAAGGTGGATACGTGTGGTCTAATCTGAAAAATCATGGGGTATGAATAAGTACATTTTGATTAACAGTTTAAAAGACCCATAGTTGCGTCTATAGAAGTGATCCCATGATGGGGAGCAAAATTGGAGCTAATTAAAATTGTAGTCGCGTAAATTCTTCATTTCCGAGGAATGGTAAAGACTGCCAAAAGATCCAGGGACAAAGTGATAGCCGAGAAAAGCCAAGATTGCTTAAAATGCTGGGGATGGTCTCACCGGTTGGGAGTATTTCCTAATTAAAATGGACTTTTTCGGAAAAAGTGGGTCGTAGTTGGCATAACTGATACAGGAAATGACATGACATTTCAAAAGCTCAAAGCTTACCGCGGTTAGCGTCTAAGTGATGACTTAATAAGAAGCATGCGGTCCACCCAGGGAAACGGTTAATTCTCATTTGATTTAATTAACTAACGAAGAAAGGTAATATGAACAGCATAAGTGGGATTTTCTCCTTGGAAGGATGCATATGAGATCACGGGTTGTTAATTGTACGACATTTTGGCTTAATTAATGCATACCACTATTTGAAAGCATATACAGCATGATTTGTCTCGGAGCTACTCTCGTGAATGTCATTTGGAATGGGACACATCAACGTTTAGATAAACAAATAACTTGTTCAACTTCACTTTGCCGGACAGATATGACAACAAACGGGGCAGTTTAAGCTGCCATATCATAAATGTTGGCGTTTAATTGGCCTCAGTCCAGCCATCTGCTGTGCTTTATTATTTCTCGGGTCTCAGTCAAAATAGCTATCCTGATTTCGCCGAACTTGAAAGAATTATGCCGCCCGTGAGCTCTTACATAATGACAAACTAGAGTTCTGTGTGCTTGGAGAAATTCACGTTTTTATTACCCATTTTGACGCCCTATTTGATTGTGGGTCAGATTGCAAAAGCATCAGATGGGCACGAATAAAAACCTGCACGATGCTCTGCATCAGGGTGAATTTCCATCACTTATCCACCCTCTCCAGATGCTCCTCATCGCACGACCAGCGCGTGCGGTGTGTGCATGGATGGGGCATTTTAAGCGCCTGTCAGCAGTGGTGATGTAGCAATCATAAGCAATGTAGCCAACTTTCTCGTAGACTGATGCTGATGATAGCCACCCTACTATTTTGTGCATTTTGTGACCCTGTGGACTAAAATCTCCAGCAATGACTGGGGCTTGTTGTGTTTAATGACGGCAGTGCCAGAAATAAGCAACAAGATTTTGTGATAGCAGCTGCTCCTTGTAGTTATTTCCAACCTTGGTAACTACATCGAGATGCTTGAAAGCTGCCCCTGCAATATTCGATATGAAGGTAACACATTTATCCTTCTCGATACAATTAATTGTCTTTAATCAAGAAGTTGTTCGAACGATTGTAAAGGAATAGCCTGTCAAGGAATCCTTTGGCACATTAGCAGGTACATTTTCGGAATATTTTCAGCACTCGTCTATGTTTTGACATAAAACTGCACACCAAACCATTGGCAATGGAGACCTGCGGTGTTATGGAGTGACCTCCATAATGCGTTCATTACATTGGGGTTGTAGGAACCACCCACGTCTACTATTCGGGATTTGGGTTCGAAGTCGTCCCAGTGACCACTTAATTACCTCAACATGGTCAGGATTCTTTAATCATAAAACGTAGCTAGTCTCTTTAACTTTATGCGCATTTCATTAACACTACCGGCTTTATCTTGCAGTAACTATTAGCCACTACAGGTACCTTGAAGAAAAAGAATGTTTTTTCTATCTGTGCAAATCTTCCCGCCAGTAGTGTCTGCCGTCCAATAAGCCATTCTGACCTCGTAGTTCTCCATCGGTGCACCTGAATAATCTGGTCTTTAACTGTCAACACCTCTGGACAGGATTATGGACGCTAGGATAATATTTCAAAGCCTTTCACTTTCTTGGATATTCCACTTTAACTCCTTTCTTTAACGGAGTCAGAGTAAAAGGCTCCATTCGCATGTATGTCTAAAAATTCAAGTTTCATAGTTGTTTATAAATTACATGAAAAGTGTCGTTGTTACAATTGTATTTAAAAAATGACGGTAAAGCTGTTTTCGACCCTACACTACACAATTACTTGACGCCACCTACTTACCAAAGCTGCTTGAAGGATTAGTTTCCGGGGGTAATTTAGACAGAACGGGACATATTATAAACTAATCCCATTTCTGATAGCCAGATTTTATCGTATTTATCCATTACTTAAGATGAAGAGTTTGATATTCGGGATGACATTGCTATTGCAGGTTAGAGCCACCCTAAGAAGTCCTACGTTTTAGTAACCAATCAGAGTTCGCCCATTCGAGTTGACAAGGCGACGGTAGATTGGACTCTGATTTGCATTAGTTATTTAAATACAGCATCCTTTTGCACTGAAAAAATGCAGATTTATAATAACTACAGAGTTATTTAAATCTGAGTGAGAACTGCAGTCCTAGAAATTCATAAAAATGACAGTTTACCTTAGCTAGCTTTCTGATACCTAAATCCTTAGGTCCAGAAGGCACTTAAGGGAACTCTATGGAGGAGACTCCTCTGTACAGCAAATGATCTTATATTACTGTCTATTTCGACCTTGCATAATGTTTTAAAGGTAGATGATGCACAGTTTAGTCGAAGCCCACAAGCAAAAATCCCTACAACCACAATGAATCCGGCATCGCTGCCAAGCAGGCATGATCCCATAAATAAATTCTACCAGAATTTGAGTATTTTGTTTCGTAGCTAGAGTTCTCATATCAGTGTTAACTAAGGTTGGCTATATAAGAAATTTACATCCGCTTTTCGGATCCACATTGAATTACAATTGCTACACTAACGGGAATCCACTTAATAAATGTGGAAATTCATCGTTACCTCGATGACCAAGCTCCGAGGGGTGATTACTAAAATTGATACATGCAGAAAAATGCCAATCACTAGCCTTGTGAATCAGCTAGAAGGTAGGAGTTTTCCTTCATACTGCTCATCTCTGCAGCCGTAAGTCTTTCCACACCATTGGTGGTAATCAGACCAGAGCGAAGAATGACTGGCAATGTCACACCTTCCTCTGGCGGTAGTATTGACAATGGTGCTGGTGAGGGAAGGAGTGGTAACTGCTGGTTCTGTCCAAGATGGTGATTACTCATAACCGGGGGAGGGCTCTGCTCCCTACTGGGACTTTGTACCGTTTGCGGCAATGCTGCTACCTTCGCTTCCGACGCACAACAGTAATGTGTAATGGGATCATCCAAAGCCTGTTTCCCCTTGTGCCTTTGAATCTCCGTTTTATCGCCTTGCCTTATCAGTAGCATTGCCTCGAGGAATTCGAATATGAAGATACACGAGAATCCAATAAACAGGGAGCAGAGACCACCAATTTCTGAGAATAATTTTGCTAGCGAATAGATCTCCTCTTCGGCAGCAACTTGGACATTTTCTGATCGGATAAGCTTCAATTTCGAGGTGTTTGCAGGCAGCTTTGAGTCTGGTGGTTCGATGACAAGAAGATTTTGTTTAACGAACTTTGAAAGCACACAGGGCATTGGACACTGGTCGTAGAGCACAGGCGAATCGGAGCACTGAGTGCGTTCGCACCGATCATTTGGGCAATTCGCAGTAGCTGTGGAGAGAAGCCAGTCCATTGTACAGGTGCATCCGCACTCCAGAGCGACCTTCATGCAACACACCTTCCATCCGCAGGCCTCACGGCTATAAAGGAACTCGGTATTAAAGAGACTAACGGCTTTTGCACTTTTCAGGGTGGCTGGCTGCCGCCGTTCGTTGGTGCGCATGTCAGTGGCTTGGTGATCGGGTAAATATGGCACATTATTGGTGGGCCAGGCGCGTTTTTTCTCAATTCCTAGCCGACGACGATCGAGAAAGTCCAGAAATGTTCCGTTTTCTCCAGTCTCCTCGAGAGTTTTAGCAAGCCAGGCCGCGTCCGCACCATCATGACAAGGGTTCCTCGCTGTATTGGCACGTCTCGTCACCGACTTTGAGTAGTAAATGGAGACCTCACTTTCTGGCGCCAGAGTAGTGTAAATGTTACGATCGTAAGCGCTGAAGGGCAGCTCACCACGCTCGTGGGCTATTATCCCGAATGTCGTACCCCGTGGTTTGACACTGCTTCTGGTCTCAGTTGCGATGCCTGCCATGTGCATGTCCTGCTGAATTGTAAATTCAACATGGGACCAGCCAAGTTCAGGACGTCGAGTGGTCAGTTCAAATGTTGTGCACATGAATTGGCGTACATTTGGAACCTACAATAATTTGGAGAGGCTTGAGTTCAGTAGTAAAATCCTTGTGTTACCTCGCCACGGGGAGAATGTAAAGCAGAACAAATTAGGTGTTTTCGAAGTTTTTTAGTGAAATGATCTTATCTACCTCCTTAACCTCTGCAAGGCCATTTTCTAACAACCTTTAGAAAGTATGCGGGTGAAGATTAAAAATCGGAAGCCACTTTTGCTTTTGTGCACATGCCATAAAGCCTTAATGTCATTCGCATTCAACGAAATTAACTCATCAGTGGATAGAATCTTTTGTTTTTCACGTTTCTGACTATTGTTGTGAAATCGTGTTCATATTCCGCCAGTCTTCCTTGGGAAATCTAATGAAATTTGTGTTCCGTATTTTTCAGTCAAATGTTGTTAAGAAAAATTTTTCTTCTCTATACAAGAGTACGTTTACCAGATAATGGAGATGAGTTTTCCTCCTTTTAAGTCCACCTTTCTTTGATTAAATGCAGCCCAATTTTACATAATTTCGAAAGCAGCTGATATAGGAGGCAAGTTGTCATTTAAACCCTCCTACGTATATGCAGGAGCACTTACCGAAATGCCTTTGTAGAGAGAGGAGGAAAGAGCAAGCAATTTAACAGATATGTGGCCTCAATTAGGAGGAGGCAAACGATTTGCCTTAAATCATCGTGAAGCAAAAGCAGCTCATAAACGCGGGTACAGACAAAAATTGTAGAAAAATCGTTTGCAGCGCATGGAATATATTTGCTGTCAAAGTTCTACTGAACACATCTGGCAGGAGTTTCTCCTCCGCACTGTCTTGAAGTTGTAAAGCAAGGCAGAAACTGCAGTGTAATTTGGCATTTGATGTTTTTCAATGACCCATAATCGCTGTGTTAATCTGCTGTCGTTATTACTCTCCCAGTCTTCACCATAACACTTCTTACAGCTTTCTGACTGAATATCTTTAATTCAGGGCATTTAAATTTGTCCATAATTTTGCTTCATTTCTTTTAATTCATCCCTTAAATTTAACGTCCTCTAGTTTAGGCTCTACGATTCAATCCTCACAGTGGCTTGAGTAACAAGTGACTAAACATTTTTTCGAAAATTATTCGGATGACGGGTTTACTTTTAATTACATGCAAAGCCCATTGAAGGGATTTCAAAAAGATCCTCCCTGCCTCATTATACAAAAGGGCAATTAAAAAAGTTTATTTATACGTTGAATAGGCTTTTTGGAAGGTGAAGGCTTGCAAGGAAATTGCTTGAAAGAGGAGCGCCGTATACTTGTCACGCACAGAAGGTGCACCCCTATGGCCCTCTTTAGGAATTGTAACAGCTGTAGTAAGCATCTGTCAAACACACTGCCAAAGTGTATTCAGATCCAGGCGATCACAGGCAGTTCGGGCGAAAGGGTAAACAAGGAGCGATTTTATTTCCGTACGGATAAGCCATTAACTAGCTTACATTTAACCGTTATTTTAACTTTTTACATCTCGTAACATTTTCTTACCACCCTAAGGGCATTTGTGTTTAAAAAGTTGTAGAATAATCCAGATTAAAAAGCCAAATCACCAGACGCACCCCTATTTCGTCTTTTTTGAAACAATGAATAAAATTTTTACTGTGTTTGGCAGCTTTGCGAATTTGTGCCCTTCATCTGTGCTAATTCCAACTGCCGTTCATGGTTTAATCACCTGCCATTGCATGTCAGAATTAGCGGTCACCCACGGAAATGTTCCACGGGTAGTATATGGCTTTCAGCGGGCAAAAAGGGAAGTGACATCTCATTTCCAATTTAGCCGGTGAGTCTAGTAAGAGTTGGATTAGCAGAGACTTGCACACATTTTCCCATTTAGTTATGAGTATTACAAGCAGTTTTGGGTTTGCTCTAATAGCACAAAATTACAGCCTGGTTAACCAAAACTCGGGGTGAACTGAATCAAGGAATAGACGTTCACATGAAATTTATTGTGATACGACTTTGTGATAAATGTTAAACATGAATATCTGATTTTTTAATGCACAAATCGCCGTCGTCGCTAGCGTGTGTCTATTGTGCTAGGAGCATAAAAGGAAAACGTCTAGTCTATTTTGCAGGTAAGATCTATGTAACAAACCATTTATGGAAGAACTTTTTGCGAAGCTGAAATGCCCGTCTTTGTTTAGCATTCCATCATGTTTACAACAGCATAGGTACGCATCATAACATGGCACAGGGGAAATCTTTTACTTTGAAGTGCGTACCTTAAACTTAATCAGATGGCATTAATCTGGCAAAGACGGTTTCAGCTAAGAAATAACTATCGCGAATCACTGTGAAATCCGAGCCACTAAAGGAGATTTCCTAGAAGCTAGGATGGTCCATGTTCCTTTTATGCGAGTGATTTTAGGCAAGTAGACGCTTTTGTGGAGGTCAAGTCCCCTTCGGTACTCCATCTTGGTAAGTAGAATGGCCTGACATCTAACCACGAACATGTTAACCATTAAGTCACCAGTCGTAGCTTGTTGTTTCAGTTGGTGTGAACAGTAATTCGCTTTAAGCCAATTTCGATGCAGCAGTGTAGCAGGACAATAAATTTGTCTAAGTCTAAAGCCGGTTGGTGCGTAATTTTTGAAATCTGATGTTCCTATCCCTGTTGAAAAAAGGTCAGGACGATCAACAAAATTTGTCTCTTGGAAATAAATGCTAATGCTTGATATTAAATTAAAATGCATGTTCAGTCAATCTGGTCGATTACAAAGTAATTACTTTGTTTTAGTAATTCGAGCTCAGCATGTTTTGCGGCCAAAATTGTCAAGTTTCCATAGTATTCCTTTTCATGCAGGAGTGGGACTGCACAAATCCATGTCCCTTAAAAATACCACAAGACACCGCCTTAAGTTATCGAATGGCCTAAATAACCGGAAGAAAACCTTTGAGCTGCTTTATCCTCGTTCATATGGTTTCATTATTTCATTGGAAGACGTTCTTCCAATTTCGCACCCTACACCGTCGGTGGAATTGGTGAACCTGGAGACGTCTTAGTGCAAAATTAACTTAAACCTGCCTTTTAGAATCCAAGATGCAATAAGATAGCGGTTGTGAACTGAACAAATCATGATCCCATTAGGCACTTATAACTTCTTTTTTTTTTTATTAAATTAGTCGACAATACGACATTATTTCAACAGTCAAATCCGTACGGTTTAATGCCACGAAAAGACTTATCCACTAATCACTTTAAAGAGGGGAAGAGGGAGAGAGTAAAAGGCAGTGAATGAAGTGCCTTGTTCAATGTAAGGGCAGTTTATTTTTGCCTCAAGTTTACGTAGGTTTCCAAACGCTAGTTCAATTTTTAGTGTCAATTTTACAATAAAAAAGAAATGGAGGGCTCCAAACTAACCCCAACAGAATTGCTAAACTAACTCTATTTTTTTTAAATTAAAAGTAGAATTTGATTAACCTTGCAAATATTGCATAGATAAAAAATTTAAAGTGCTACTGGTATTATTTGCGCCTGGGAAACATCCCAGTTGGATGTTTAAGTGAAATCGTGTGCTGATTGACAAACGAATGGCGATAATAAACAAGGTGCTTCATCACCCTCCTGCGACCAAGACTTCAAAGTCAACCACTCAAAGATACTCCATAAAACGCCATTAGAGATATTTTCGTGGGCGATGAGCAAATGACCGGGACGACGACTGGATGCTGGTATATTACCTGCAATCTAATAAAAAGAGCTTTGGAGGTAGCCATCCGCCCACTTGTCCATTAAGTTTGTTGAGATTCGCAGTGAAAGTAGTTTATCTGAAGGTAGGCGCACCAACATGATACTTGTGCTTCGGCCTACAATCCACTAGGATGCATACGTACCGATCTACAGGTAAGAGGATAAAATAAGGAAGTTGTCCTTCCATTCGACCTGAAAATAGTACTTCTGCCAATAACATGGTATCTATTAAAATTTGTATCACTGCGTTGTCTACCATCCCACAATTTAAGGAGTCTGTCACTGCTTGTGCTGAAACTTCACCTGTTCTTCCCCTAAGGATCACAGACAAAAAAACCGGGAATTAATGCCTTCTAATTTATCCCATTCGTTGAGTTTCTCCAAACGTAATTACTTTTGGATTAAAGATTAGGCTACAGTAAATGTAAATAAATAAAAATCTTTAATTAGTAGACGGTATTTCACGGTAGCTTTACACTTTTGACAACCATAAATTACGAGAATGTAAATAAATTTAATCCTGTTAACTTCAAAATACACCACTTTCTGTAACAAAAAGACAACTCCAGATGTACGCGCCAGAAATCATTGCAAAATACTTTTGAAAAGTACCATTCGACACACCCAGAAGGCTTTGATTTTACCTAATTTTCTTCCTTTTGAGAAATAAGTAGTGAACATTCCCTCCAGAGTGTTCATTTATCAATTGTGGAAACTAGAAAACTATTATAGTCTTAATTCTTCGGTCTTAAATTAGATTGGCTTAATGCTGTACACAGTTGAATGCAGGTTAAGTCAATGAAAGAACTCATTTCCCAGCTTAAGTTATTTGTCACCCTTCTCGTCCAAAGATACTCAAATACCGCGGTTGTTTCAAAGCACCATCTCTTAACAATCAAGTAATATCAACTATACTGTCACGCTAAGACTCACCTGTTCCAGCACAAAAAGTTGGTAATTGTTCACAATACTGGCGGGTTTTATTTGGAAGGTAACAGAGAAGTTGTGCAGTGCTCGGTAGATGGGCGATTTGGCAACCACTTGAGTGTCCCAGTAGAGATTGCCTGAGGGCAGGTAGTGACCGATCGCGCCAGGAGGATCAAGTGCTTTGTTGGCGGTAATCAGTTTCAGCAGCTCCTTGTTCACCGCTGAATTCAGCCACGGCACTGCACCTTGTTCGGCTTTCTTGTTCGCCTTTGGCCAGCCGTGCTTCTTTCTGGCGTGATCAAAGAGACGATGAATCTCCTGAGGATCGGGACAGATGGTAATGCCCGGTATCTGATC